AGTCGACTTTAAATTCGCAGGATAGGCACGCTATTGTAGTGGTCTTGCCGATACTCCCGACAAAGACAGAGGGATTTCCTCCCAAAATGAGACAGTGCTCATCTCCTTGTTAGCAGCCCTGAGCCAGTGCTGGAAATTCTACATTCCTATGCTGGAGATGAGTCTAGCCATAGACAATCCAATGAAGATTGCTTAGAAAGCGGTACTTTATTTTATTGACCCCATAACAATGATGTGCTGAGTCAACCTCACAACCAGGATTTGAGTGGATTGCGAGCTGCTCGTTCTGCCCCTGAGCCACCTGGCCCGGGTCTTACCACAATGATATCATAATGCAATCGGAGGGGGGTGAAGTCAAAGTGGCATTTACCAGTGTCCAAATTATGCTTTTGACCGGAACGTTTAAGTTACTTTCCCGCAATATACAAATTTCAAGCTGGTGTTGGACAGCCCAGGAACAGCCGACGTGGGATCTCCAAGAACAGAGATGTCCGTTTTCTGGGCTGCGTCCGTCTTCCTCTAAGGAACCCGCAACGTGATCATTCGATCCCTCAGCTACGCACCGGTGTGAAGCGGCGTGCGGTGCTGAACGGTGCATCACAGCGACACGCAAATGCTAATCAGGCAAAGGTCAGCGCTGGGACGGACGGAGGGACATGGGCCGCAGTCTGTGGCAGCGGTTGTATATTTAACCAGTTCTGACCTTTACAAGCACCCAGAAGTATTCCTTTTTTGAAAAGTCTAATTACACAGGGGGGTGTAAATCAATGCTGTGACTTATTTGCTCTTCTCACATACATGGGCGGTGATTGAAATCTGAACGGCGGCAAATTGCTTGAGAAATTAGGGGGGGTGCGCGTCCGTAACGTATAGCCCCAGCTGCTGTGCCAAGTTTATGCCGTCCGATGCAACGGGCGGTGATAGCAGCGAGTGTGCCGCTCGAACCCTTGTGCAGCGAAGAACGTTTTGAGAATGCTGTTTTGTTCAAAACCACACAACCAGATCCGTCCTGGTGCAGCATGGCTTCGGTCGTTTTATTGTTAAATTTGGACAAATAATGCATTTGTTTTGTTCATAGTAATTGATAATAATTTACTTATTTATCCAGGAAAGCCACACTGAGTATTTTTTTTAAGGAGGGTCCAGCATGGGGTTTTTCTATTTTATGATGCTTGAAGGCATTTTAATGATGAGTATTTTTTTAAATTTAAACCTGCCTTTTGTGTTTAGTTTGTTTTCCTTTCCCCGCACCTCCGATTAGCGCAGTTGGCTGCTTACATTGCGAAAAAAGTGCGAGATACATAGATGAAGGCTCCCGTAGACTTCAATGTTAAATCCTCCCATAGACTTCAGTGTTAAGGCTCTCACTGACTTCAGAATCATAAAAATGTATTTAGACTGGAGAAATCCGATGAGCTATGAAGCTCTTTTTCACACATATCCAGTAGGGGTGGGTCAGAACGTTACAACAACAAACAGTACAAAACACCGACAGGAAAATAAATTACAGGAAAGGTAAACAAATCATTTATTTTAATGCGTTCTGTATATACACTTTAGTTTTAGTCGTACGTTGCATCGTACCAAGCTGTGGTCCAATGACATACCGGCTCCTTGACATTTTCTGCACAGTCGAATTGATGTTTTCCAGCGTCTGTCGATCATGACCAGATCTATCATATCTGTTGCTTTTCCATCCGGTGCACTCCATGTCCATTTTCTGCAGTCTTTTTGTTTGAACCGACTATTACACATGAGCGTGTCATATTTTGAAGTGAATTCCTGCAGTTTCTCACCTCTTTCATCTCTTTCTTCATATCCATACCTTTGCACGATGCGTAACCATGCGGTTTTTATCTTTCCCAATTTTTGCATTCCTGTCCACCACAATTATCTTAATATCTTTCCTAGGCAGTTCCTTTAACGTGCTTTCCAGCGTTTCGTAGAACTCTTCAATGTCCCCTTCTGTGCTATCTGACGTTGGTGCATATATTTGGATGACAGACATATTTAGGGGTTGTCCATTGAATCTTGCCACAATTACTCTTGGACTAACCGGTCTGTGTGCCAATAATGATGCTTTGGCTTTTGCGCCCAACAAGAACCCTACTCCTGTGGTGTGCGCTTTATCTTCCCCTGACCAGATCACTCCACCCTCATTTATCTCCCCCCCCCCCATTCCTGTCCATCTCATTCCTGCCAGTCCACGGATGTCGTACCTTTCCATTTCCATTCTTCGCAGCTCTAACGGTCCTGTTGCCAATAATGTTGTCACATTCCATGTCCCGACTCCTCATTTGTCGTTCTCAGCCTCTCCGTTGAATTTGGCCGCTTTGTTTTCTGCTGCTTTCCTGTAGCAAATGTTTCGACCCAGTCCCGGTTGCTTGATTGTGGACGCGGACCTTGTTGACCCGGACGACGACCGAGCCGGTGTCCTTCTTCTTCTGTGGTCGTCACGTTGCATTGGATTCCTTTAATCTATTTTCTTCATGGCCGATCTATCGGCACCTCTTGTGCCCGACCCTCCTCCTTTTTAGCCATGCTTGGGGCTGGCTCAGATATCCACTGGATTGCGGACACCCGAGGCGGCTTTAACATAAATGTAATTTTAAATTATTTTTATGAATATAATTTGGTGATCAAACACATCCTCATTTTGTTGTCCATCCCCCGCGCCTCCGATTAGCACGGTTGTCTACGTATGGTGCGAAAGGAGTTTAACATGCATTTGCTTAATTTCTTTAAATTATTCTTCAAACTATTTTAATAAATATTCTTTGGTTCTTTCGGTAAATTCACATAGGTATAAAATAAAATAAATCACGACGATATTAAAATGAAATCCGAACATAATATTAGAACTACATTACCAATATTTTACAGACCAAATATGTCCACATAGCCTGTCCTAAATTAATATTTTGGGCACTCAAGCAGCAATTTAATGTTGTACGTTTTTAAAGGTTAATGTGGTTTTGTAGGTGTTTCTTTTAACAAAAGAACACTAATATATCGGAGTTTTGTGTTGTACTGCGTGTATGAATGCTGACACTATTGTTGTGTTTACAACATTATTTCCCGCCTGTGCATGCCTGCATGTATGTGTACGTCTGTGTTTGTGAAGCAAACACGGCCTGTATGCCCCATACTCCTGAGCGCCAGTCAAGCGCTCCCACTGACTAATGTACAGGAGCCATCTGCCGCTTCCTGGTCAAGCCTCGGTCATTGTTAATTTGATTTCAGCCTCGTGGATCTTACCCTACCCAGAGCTTCCTCTTCAATCAAATCTCTGATTTTTTCATTACTTTTGCTGATCAGCATCAACAATAACAACAACAAAGTCAACATTACTTTAACCCACTCATGAAACATAAGTCAAGCTTTAAGTTAAAGAATAACGATTTCCTCAGCAGTGGGTAAAACATCGTGCTTGTTGTTTTTGGCATGCACTTTCTCATTTATGAAGAAAGACAGCGCTCACTGGAGCGCTGTCTTTCCGACAGTTCTGTTTCTTCACCTGAGGACGGCTACTTGTGTTGTGGCCGAAACGTCGTGGGAATTGTATTTCATTTTTATTATTTTATTATTTCCCTTCTACGTGACTTTACCGAAAGAACCAAGAAGATGAATCCCTGGAGTCACGAAAGCTTTAAATCGAGAGTTACGAATGCTTATCTTTTCATACTGCGAGGGGTGCTTTGTAGGATGTTTAAAGTCTGTTTTGTGCTCTCCATAAAATAAAATAAGTGCTGCTCTTAAGAAGCAGGCCGGTTTACAGCCTGCAGTCGCTGTGCAGTCACTGACATAATTGGTTATTTTGGTGACTCATAAGCCACCTAAAATGACTCTTAATGTGAAATATATTGTAATTTAAAATGACAGCCACGGTCCTAACTTTCTCTAACTTGGTCAAAATGTAATTTTTCAATGTTATGTAGATATATTTATCTTGAGGTTTTCATCACTGGCAAACCCTTGCCAGACCCCTGCCTCTAAATATATAATGCAGTGCACAATATCCATTTAATGTATGTGTGTACATACGAGGTGTTTTTTTTATTATTATTATCATCCAGGCTCAGTGTGGTTGATAATAAAGAGATAGTTAATCATTTGTGCTCATTATTTGTAAAGGAAATAGTAATGTATTCAACGTGCGTGCAGCATCGTCTATTTCCGTCTATAGATATGTTTCCTGTGTTACTTCTCTCTCGCTCTCATTCAGGGCATTTGAATAAATTAATGCAAATTGTGAAAATTGCTAATGCATAATCCTGCAGAAAATTAAATCTAGAAAACTTTCTAGAGAGCGACAGTCGAGGCAGTAAGTTTGCTACGTGTAAAGGGTTAGATAAAAAAGAGATGATTAGCTTAACCCAGAGGGCTCATAGGCTTGAGAGCCACGGCTGGCATTATTTTATTCTAAACACAACTCTTCAGGGATATGGCTACATCCTTTTTGAAGTCAACTTTACATTTCAAACCTTTGTTCTGCGTTATTTATACTGCACATACTTAACGTATTGAGGCCGTAAAACCCATGCGCTTTGACCAATAAAAACATTGGTTGAAAAATAAACTAGATACGTGGACTAAATCCTTCGATTACAAATAATTAAATATTTTTGGAAGTGGGTCCCTTTACAACCGAAGAGCCACCAACCAAAAAAAATAAACCTTCTATTACCCATCGCAGAGATGCTGAAGAAACCATTGTTCCCAGACACTGACATACAGGGCTTCATTTTAGTTGGGTCTGCCTGGGTAGGTGATCCAGAAAATATTTCCACACCCGGAACACTAAATCCAGTATACATTTCAGTAGTGCGTGTCCACTATTGATGTACCACCACCTGGAATTTAACAACCCGGGTAAAACCAGTGAGACATCAGGCCCTGCCGCTACCCGCCTTCGCCAGCAGCCCGACACACGCGTGGCCCCGTCTGGCCAGCGTTGCGTGCGCTCCGCTCTCACCACTCGCTTTGCTCTGTGGCCGCAGGACACGGCTGTGGGCACGACGGTGTTCACGGTCCGCGCCACCGACCCCGATCAGGGCATGGGCGGCTCCGTCCTCTTCTTCTTCCAGCCGTCGTCCGACCTCTTCCGGTTGGACAGCGCGCGAGGTTTCATCACGCTCGTGCGCTCGCTCGACTACGAGACGGCCGAGGTTCACCAACTGCGCATCAACGCCACGGTGCGGGTGCTCGGCTCTCGATGGCAACGGCGGAACCTCGTGTTGGCCAAACTTCCCAAAGTAGGGCCACATAGCTCGGGCAATTGTTGGCGTCAGTTCCGGCTGCCTCTCCGCTCGTCTGTGATTTCGCATAAGGGAGAAGTTCTTTCTCTATCTCTCTGAGAGTGAGCAAACCCATGTTACAAATTCTAGATTATTAAAATGATTACGTCAAACAGAGTGAAGATTTTCCCAAAAGGCAGGTGCATTTAGCCGTAATAATGATGCAGCGTTCACAGCTAAACTGGATGGCGTTGACTGCCTTTGTTTCTTTATGCTTGTGCTCAATTTCATACGCACGCGTGAGTACACTGTGCGCGTGTCCGTGCTTCTACAGGACCAGGACCAGCGGAGGCCCCTGTCCACCATCACCAACCTCCTGGTCACAGTGCTCGACGTTCAGGACACAGACCCTTATTTCCTGGGCCTCCCCTACAGCACCAGCGTGACAGAGAACGTGCCGCTGGTGAGCCCCCCGGCGCAGCCGTCTGCACGCTCGCGCAACGTATTTTCCCCGGCAACAAAAGGAAAAACAATTTACATTTTATTTGCTCCCTCGCGGTTGCAGGGTCCCCACGTGGCAATGCGGTCTGTTTCCCGTGGAACTCTAAAGCGTGAAATTGGCCCTCAGTGGCCAAGGGTGATAACACTGCACCATGTTTTTAATTAACCTGTAATTCATTCATAATTAGCGCCGAAAATGGCATCGATCCCCAAGATCAATAGCCATCCGGACTCTTCGGCGTCACCTCCATTTAAACCGCTTATGGTATGAGCACATTAGCGGTTAATTGAACCTGCCGTTAATCCCGCGTATGGGCAGGTAGCGAGATCGAGGGAGCCGGGTTGACATTTAGAGTGGGGGGGGAGGCTAACAAGATGGAGCCCTTCCAAGCAAGGCATTGGCTCTTGTCGTGTCAGCGTCTCCCTATGGGGGGGGTGGCAAAATCAGTGTCTTCAAATTAGATAATAAACATACTTACAGTCTTGTACATACACAGAGCTACAAGATTACATTCGTGCCTAAATATACTATAATTGAAACAATTACATTAATACACACGAATGTAACTTAGAAATAGTTAAGTAAAAAATGTAACTTGCTTTAGCACTGTATTTTTTAAAGCTGTCTCCACTGCAAAACGAGACGTTTGGTTTCAATGCACCCTCACACGGTTGTGGAGCACAGCAAACAGACAACCCTCACTCTAGCCTGTTGTCTTCTACCATCTATTCACGTTTCCCTGCCACACATGCATCTCCTGCAAACTGCACCACGCGAGTGATATTATTTATATGTATATCAATGATTGAAGACAGGCCTCGAGGCCTAAAAATGCGAAGTTAGGTCATCATTAGGCATCGTATCACTATAAGTTGTAATATATGAGTGAATTCGAATGGCGATGCGAACAAAGTTTTCAGAACATGATGAACACCTAAGGGCCCCTTTTAAGTGTAACGTGAAGGTCAACTCACCACGCTTGAGAACGTGGTTTAATCACGGGTGACTGAAACAAAGATTCAATCCCAGATGGTGTCAGCTCAGCGCTCTGACCTGGCGAGCCACTCGGCTGCCTCTGATCTATCATTTTTTTTTCTTTAAAAATTGGGCTCCTCCATCGGAGGAGGTAGCATTGAGCAGCAGCAGCTGCAGGAGGACAGTGTGCAGGAACCACGGGGGCCCTGGAGCCTCCTCCTCATGCCTCTGGCATCGCCCAGAACTGTGAGGAGATTTACCAACAGGGGATAGAAGTTAGCAGCCACCCCCCCCCCCCCCCCCCCCCCGTATAAACAAAACTAACACCGCACCGGTGGAATACAATGCGGCGGGAGCGCGAGGATCAATTTCGCTTCAAAAGCCACGGCTCAATAATGAATTCTAACCCCGGTTAAAATTGTGTTAAACAAGAAAAACATGCAAGCATCGGTAAAACTCCCTTAGAGTTAAGACAGAGAGAGCTCAGAGCAGCAGAGCCTCACTTTTCCCGTGAGCAGGCGGCCTACGCCATTTATATGGAAATTGCTCAGTGGCGCTTGAGCAGAAATGCCGTCACTCACGCATTTAGACCTTCACCCATGTGGCTGTTAATACGCTCGCACACGCAAGCATGCACACCGCCGCACAGATGCACACCGCCGCACAAAAATGCACGCACACCGCCGCACAGATGCACACCGCCACACAGATGCACGCACACACAATGCACAGATGCACACAGACTGCACAGATGCACACAATGCACAGATGCACACATGCACAGATGCACACACACTGCACAGATGCACACACACTGCACAGATGCACACATGCACAGATGCACATACGCAGGTCTCTAATAGGGTCGCCCACTCAACCCACCGTGCAGCAATCCAGCCCTCCCTCCTTGTCTCTAATCCCCTCCTTCTCCTGCCCTTCTTCCCTCAACCTCTTCGTCCCTGTGCCTTGCTCTGTTTGACTTGTCCACCTCATTCCTTGTAGAATAGCCGTGAAACTGGATCATCTGTTACACAGGGGTCAGTCTGATTTCCCCGCAAAGTGACACTAATTTTATTGACCCCGGAGGGATGATGGGCTGAGTGAACCCCCAAATCAGATTTGTAACTTGCACTCTTTCGATTTTGAGGCGCTCGCTCTACCGCTGAGCCACCTGGTCAGGTTCACTTCATGTGCATTCACTAAAAACTCGAGCCCCTTTAAGTCAATCGATTTGTGACTTACTGCGCGGCTTAGCAATGCCAATGCCCAGACGCGTGTGGTTTTTGGGCAAGGCTGGCAATGAGTTTAAACGGTCTCTTCGCTTGTCATCCAGTACAGCAGCACGTACATGTATGCACAAGTGTGCGCTTGCTCGCTCGCACACGAGCGCGGTTGGCTGTGTACGGTGCAAAAGAAGTTCAATATACGAGCGCATACCCGCCGTGTGTGCGCGCGCGTTCGCGTGTCTCCGTGTGGTCGAATTTCCCCGAACCAACCGGAGGCTCCCTTAATCGACGGGCTTACCAGCTTGCGTCTCATTGTGTACGGTGAGGAGGTATTTTGGTCTTGTGTGCGTAGCTCCCCACAAGACTTGACAGATAGCGTAGCGCTGGGACAGTCGAGAAGAAAGGTTAGACAAGTGAGCAGTGCTCTGGCATGAGAAGCGTTTGAGTTGAACCTTTTATATCAGTCTTGACAAGATCCATCGTATATATCCCTGTGCTAATAGCACTTTTCAGCACCTTTATCTGCAGGAGTATATAGCAAAGCAGTGCATTCGGATGGTTCAACAAATTCCAGAGTATCGACTGGACCTTTGTGCCTTTATATGATAATGTTGTAATACATATGATGAGCATTTTGTCCTTCTAAGTGCAGTCAGCTACGTTTAACATAGTTAATGAGGTCACAATCCATTGGGAAAAAAAAATCAAACCTCCGTGGGAGGTAGCTCATTCGCCTGTGCATCCCCCCATTGAGACGCCTTTCCCCCAGCCATCCGTGCTGTTACCTCCCTGCCCCAGTTCAGCTCCAAGCTCAAGACCCGGTTCAGCTCCAAGCTCAAGACCTCCATATTCCCAGGCTTTCGCCACCAAATATCATCCAAAATAATAGAGGCTTTTTTTGGGGTGGTTAGATCGCTTCATATATAAATGTTGTGTCGTTAAAACCCGCCGCCACCCGACACAGCCAACCGGTAAGGTTTGTCACGTAAACAGAACGTGGCCAATTCGTCACTAGTACAGCACTAACCGGTTGTGTGTTGGAGAGCCAAGCCACAACATTTACAAACTGAGTACGACGTTTCGCCAGTAATTACAACCAGCTTCATCAGGCGACAGCCAGATTTGTGGAGAAGTCCACCTGTTTCGTTCCTTACATAGTGGCTAAGATGTGGTGACCACGCTTATGCGGTCTTGTGCAAATTTGGGGGGGGGGCGGAAATGAATGAGTCAACATATATTATGCATGCGCATTATGGAAGCCCTTTGTCTCTTGTCCTTCCTGTCCATTGTATTATAATCGCCGTCACTGGCTTCTTCGGGTTTCTCTCTCTTTATGTACAAAATAAGAATGCCCACTGTTTCTGTACCGCGTCTTGAGATCCAGTTGCATATCGATGCACCTCCCCCGTACCTTCGATTAGCACGGTTGGCTCCGTGCGGTACTAAAGAAGTTCAACATACATATATACAAACCCACATAGAATTGGATTCTGTGATTGTCTGGAATTTTTATATTTTATTATTATTACGTTTCTTTACCCACTTTAGACCTGGATAAACAATAAATGGAAAAAGACATTTACATGACAGTGGCAGTACCGGCATAGAGATATGGAGTGGCTTTCAGGGCAAGCGTCAGGAGGAGAAATTGTAGAATCATGGGGGGGGGAAGGGTAACGTTATTGGCGCCTCTGCCACATCGTGACGGTGCAAATTAGAGATAATCTGCAGTCAAACCCACAAGAGTGAGAGAATGACTGCATTGTGCTACTTTTTACACCATCTGGCAAAGCAACGCTGAGATTACCTCGCTCGGTTTGCGTGGCCAAAATAGTTTATTGTTTTAATGAGGATTCGGAAAGGCCTATTTTCCCCACTCTACATTGAAGACAACGCACTTTTTAAAATAAATTGTATTAACTTCATTTTTACGTGGCCATATTAAACTCAGCTGACGTGTTTTTAATTTCGGTTTTGGAGTCTTTTCGCTCGTTTTTGTCCCCTCAACTTATCTACACACACTCTAATGTGCACTGCATACATTTCATTACACAATTAAGTACGGCAATTTATTACATTTATCTATGAATATTTTCCGTGGCGGGGGAGCTTTAAGAATGTTTAGTTGTTTGGCAGAAGCGGCACGGGTTCCAAGAGACAAGCCTCATGAAAGGCTCGTCCCGTCGCACACGAGGGGGCTCAATTACAGCTGAACAACAGAAGCAGACACACACACACACACATACAGAACAAAAGGATACATTGCAATTAACCGAGACCACATAAGAACACCATTTCATCTTGTGGCCATTGACAAATGTTTTTTGCGAGTGTTACAATATAATGACGTCCCAGTGCTTGAGGTCAAAGAATTAACTTGAGCCAGAGGAACTCTCCCAGCTTGCTTTTATTCACGCTCCCCTCTGTCCGCAGACCCAACCAAGCTCACGGTGAAATAATAAAAATAATAATCCAAATTTCGATTTAAAGCTTTCGTGACTGCAATGATTCATCTTCTTTGGTTATTTCGGTAAAGTCACGTAGAATGAGAATAAAATAATAAATTGATAAAATAAAATAACACAATAATATTCTCACGACGTTTCGGCCACAACACAAGCGGCCTTCATCACTCCAGCGCTGTCCTACCAGACAGTCTCGTCCCTTCACCTGATGAAGGCCGGCTTGTGTTGTGGCCGAAACGTCGTGAGAATTTTATTGTGTTATTTTATTTTATCAATTTATTATTTTATTCTCATTCTACATGACTTTACCGAAAGAACCAAAGAAGATGAATAATAATCCATTTTTGAAATGTGAGCAGTGGTGTTTGTTAGCGGGAGTATGCGCTGCTGGCCCGGGAGGAGGGCGGCCGGCGTGGATGCTGCCTGCCCCTCTGTGGCCAGGCAGCTGTGACGTCATGGTGGGAGGCCACAGCGACACTCCTTGTTTTGTTACTCCAATCATCCGGACAGAGCTTCGCCGCTCCCGCACGATCGCGACGCAGCTCCTGCGTCGCCTCTGTCTGGAAATCCACACCTTGCTTTTTTCTCCCCGCCATTTTTCTTCTGCCAACGAAATCTAAATTTTGGCAGCGCCATGCAGAGGCCTTCATCCAGCGGTGGACTGACAGTTTGCCTGATGCCGCCGATGATATCTCAATCTCAATCTTGCTATCAGCCTCATGTCATGACACAGAGTTCCCGTTGTAACACTCAGAGAGCAGTGCATCTCCCCGTGCGTTCGAGGACAGCCCGCGGGTTAGTGTTTCCTTATCAGCCAGATTATAAGACTCTCCGGAAAGTAAGACGTGCCCCAAACTTGTCCGTTGTCAATGAAGTTACACAGATCTGGTCTCACACATCTAGCAAATTATAAGACACAACCGCATTTAGAATACAGGGGATGGAAAGTGCATCGAACAATGCAGAGAACATGGTGTTACAGGCTGATTGAATAACAAAAAAGCATATTTCCGTGACCTCTGACTCCACACACGAGAGGGCACTGCTCTCTCCCCACACTCCCTGCTGTGAATAATTTGTTCATCGTGTGGCAGTAAAACTGACATTCATAAATAATTTTTAATTCTCAGACCTATAAGTTAGTAGGATAAGGTGAGACAAAAACACGTGTTTAATGCAATTATTGTCCTGTGCAGTCATTGGTGACCAGGCTGAGACCAATTCACGAGAACCTCGTTTAATCACACACGCAGCTGCAACCCAAATTCGAATCCAGGATCTCAGCAGTGCATGCCGAGTGCTTTGACCCATGAGCCACTCAGCCACCTTCCATACCTGTTTAAAATGTGTGAGTTATTTATATTTATTTCAAACAGTAGTGATTTGCATTCAAGCGGTAGCCTTAAACATATTTTCAGTGGTTGCCTCTAAAGCCTTCAACCACGGGGGGGCAGAAAATAATTAATGTCAGATGCTGGAAAGCTTTTTTGCTTATTGTACCATTATACTCGGTTGTCCTATTTTTCACACGCAGGGAACATCTGTTCAGACTCTCCAAGCCAAGGATGGGGACCGGGGAAATCCGCGGAACGTCAGCTACTCGATAGTGTCAGGTACAAAATTTTGATTTAAAGCTTCCGTGACTGCAGGATAGTGTCAGGTACGGCGAAGATGCCCGCAGTAGTGTGGCGGCCTCGTTCAAGGGGCATGTGCTTGCCTTCCCGTGGATCTGATTAAAGTGACGGAATGAATCTCTCAATAATACCACGATCGAGTGGTGTGCAAATGAAAAGCTTAAGAAAATGAATAATTATTTAATCTCTCTCCGAGTTCCAGTCAGTGGCTGAGCGGGGGGCTTTCCTTTGTGGTGTGCAATTCCCACACCACAATTCTGCCATAGAGGACAGTGTTACAGTGTATCATGATCCCCATAGATCCCTGGAGAAATGAGAAAAGCCTTGTGAGAAGATGTCCATTAAAATTGGATGCCAAATGTCGCAGATACTTCAGGACCTTTTTTGCCCCCCCCAAAGAAACTGTTCGATTTCCAAGTAGGATTTACTAAATGACAAAAATAAATATCTTTGCCCAGGAAAACATATTATGATGTTAAACAACTGATGTGCGCTTGTCTGTGTGATGGATGGGATTTAGGCTAAATATCTAAACATGGCGTGTGGTACTGGCAGGAATGAAAGGCCTCGGAATTGGCTGTCGAAATGACAGGTGAAATTTCCAACGGTTGGAGAAGCATCTTCTTTTGGTGAAATCTTTCCTTACCAGTAATTGCTTGTCTGTGTGCGTTCCCCCCCCCCCCACATCCCAGGCAACACAAATGATATTTTCTACCTGGACGCTCTGAGTGGGCTGCTGAGTGTGAACGGAGCCCTGGACAGGGAGAACGTGGCATTTACCGCTGGGCTCACGCTGCGAGTCCGGGTGAGAGCGGAGTCCAGCTTTACCGCAAGCCCTTACGCTTCCTGGCTTGCATGATAATGTCTTGCAGGAGTCGTAACCAATCAGGGTGGCATCCTCGCAATGGTAACACGTGCTGGCGTCTTGGTCGCACGCAGACGGAACGAATGTCCTGCCTGTGTAAGTGCACAACCACGTGATAGATGTGATGTCACCAATGGCGAGATGTTAACACCTTCGCCTGCTATGGAAGAGGTTGTGGGTTCGATCCCAATCCTGACGTCTTCATAGTTTGAGTTTGCGGTGACTCTCTCTCTCTCTCCATGGTTTTCCCTATATTTATAATCAACATGCGTTTAGAGTATTTAGCTGCTCTAAATTCCCATGTGATAAGCCATTTCATTGAGCTATGATTTGTGATAGCCAGGTTGCTTCTGAAAAAGAGGTCTTTCGCTAAGTGGGCTTTACCTGGTAAAATAAAAAATAGTTTAAATATATACTTCTTTTGTGACCACATCGTTACTGACCAACACATTCAGTTTTTGTTGTTGTTGTTGTTGTTTGTGCTTGTGCACCGCTGCCAACGCAGCGGCACCAAAACAAAAGATGCATTTAATGTTGGAAAAACACGGGGCGTCATTGATAGCATCGGCGTGATGAGACAAGGGAGGTGGATGGAGTTAGGTAAGAAGTAACCTGCTGCTTTAGGGTGGCAGTAAACTGCGTTTTATGTCAATTGGCTCGTTAAGTGCAATGTTGGCCTAGATGAAGTGATGAGCAATATGAATGTTTGGCTGTTTGTAAGATGTGTATGCCGCTGCGACAATGCTGCACAATGGAAGTGATTGGGTTGGTACAGTGAGGGAAAAAAAGTATTTGATCCCCTGCTGATTTTGTACGTTTGCCCACTGACAAAGAAATGCTCAGTCTATAATTTTAATGGTAGGTTTATTTGAACAGTGAGAGACAGAATAACAACAACAAAATCCAGAAAAACGCATGTCAAAAATTTTATAAATTCATTTGCATTTTAATGGGGGAAATAAGTATTTGACCCCCTCTCAATCAGAAAGATTTCTGGCTCCCAGATGTCTTTTATACAGGTAACGAGCTGAGATTAGGAGCACACTCTTAAAGGGAGTGCTCCTAATCTCAGCTTGTTACCTGTATAAAAGGCACCTGTCCACAGAAGCAATCAATCAGATTCCAAACTCTCCACCATGGCCAAGACCAAAGAGCTCTCCAAGGATGTCAGGGACAAGATTGTAGACCTACACAAGGCTGGAATGGGCTACAAGACCATTGCCAAGCAGCTTGGTGAGAAGATGACAACAGTTGGTGCGATTATTCGCAAATGGAAGAAACACAAAAGAACTGTCAATCTCCCTCGGCCTGGGGCTCCATGGAAGATCTCACCTCGTGGAGTTGCAATGATCATGAGAACGGTGAGGAATCAGCCCAGAACTACACGGGAGGATCTTGTCAATGATCTCAAGGCAGCTGGGACCATAGTCACCAAGAAAACAATTGGTAACACACTACGCCGTGAAGGACTGAAATCCTGCAGCGCCCGCAAGGTCCCCCTGCTCAAGAAAGCACATATACATGCCCGTCTGAAGTTTGCCAATGAACATCTGAATGATTCAGAGGACAACTGGGTGAAAGTGTTGTGGTCAGATGAGACCAAAATGGAGCTCTTTGGCATCAATTCAACTCGCCGAGTTTGGAGGAGGAATGCTGCCTATGACCCCAAAAACACCATCCCCACCGTCAAACATGGAGGTGGAAACATTATGCTTTGGGGGTGTTTTTCTGCTAAGGGGACAGGACAACTTCATCGCATCAAAGGGACGATGGACGGGGCCATGTACCGTCAAATCTTGGGTGAGAACCTCCTTTCCTCAGCCAGGGCATTGAAAATGGGTCGTGGATGGGTATTCCAGCATGACAATGACCCAAAACACACGGCCAACGCAACAAAGGAGTGGCTCAAGAAGAAGCACATTAAGGTCCTGGAGTGGCCTAGCCAGTCTCCAGACCTTAATCCCATAGAAAATCTGTGGAGGGAGCTGAAGGTTCAAAACGTCAGCCTCGAAACCTTAATGACTTGGAGAAGATCTGCAAAGAGGAGTGGGACAAAATCCCTCCTGAGATGTGTGCAAACCTGGTGGCCAACTACAAGAAACGTCTGACCTCTGAATGCCAACAAGGGTTTTGCCACCAAGTACTAAGTCATGTTTTGCAGAGGGGTCAAATACATTAAAATGCAAATCAATTTATAACATTTTTGACATGCGTTTTTCTGGATTTTGTTGTTGTTATTCTGTCTCTCACTGTTCAAATAAACCTACCATTAAAATTATAGACTGATCATTTCTTTGTCAGTGGGCAAACGTACAAAATCAGCAGGGGATCAAATACTTTTTTCCCTCACTGTAGCTGGATACTCGGCGTTGCTGCTGAAGTTATAAATAACAAAAGTGAAAGCTTCTGTGCAGTGAAGAGCGCACTCAGGAACTATAATCACACTCGGTGTGATCACGATCACTTGGCACTATATGAACGTCGAACAACAGCATCTCTCTTGAGATGCTATATACAACCGAAATGTAACACATCGTTCATACTGCACACATTACATTGGGGCACTGTTAGGTAGTGTGATCCATTGGGCTCGTAAACAAACGTGATCGATAGCAAACTCAAGGCAGAGCAAAGATTCACAAACAAGCTTTAATCAACATTTACTTCTGGGAGTAAATACACGTAAGTGTAATAGATACGGGGGTACGTTTCAGAAACCCACGTTGTGCGGTAGCCAATGCCCTCGATGCTATGGGCGGTTTGGCGCCTGGATTGAAGCCACCTTTCTCGCAAGTGGCAACCAGCGCCCGTGGGCAGTGAGGAGCAGACGAAGCTCTCGGTGAGGAGTGGATGAAGCTCTCGGTGAGGAGCGGGCAAAGCTCTCGGTGAGGAGTGGACGAAGCTCTCGGTGCAGAGCGGACGAAGCTCTTGGTGAAGAGCGGACGAAGCTCTCAGTGAGGAGTGGACGAAGCTCTCGGTGAGGAGCGGATGAAGCTCTCGGTGAAGAGCGGACGAAGCTCTTGGTGAGGAGCGGACGAAGCTCTCGGTGAAGAGCGGACGAAGCTCTCGGTGAGGAGTGGACGAAGCTCTCGGTGAAGAGTGGACGAAGCTCTCGGTGCAGAGCGGACGAAGCTCTTGGTGAAGAGCGGACGAAGCTCTCAGTGAGGAGTGGACGAAGCTCTCGGTGAGGAGCGGATGAAGCTCTCGGTGAAGAGTGGACGAAGCTCTCGGTGAGGAGCGGACGAAGCTCTCGGTGAAGAGCGGACGAAGCTCTCGGTGAGGAGTGGACGAAGCTCTCGGTGAGGAGTGGACGAAGCTCTCGGTGAGGAGCGGACGAAGCTCTCGGTGAGGAGCGGACGAAGCTCTCGGTGAGGAGCGGACGAAGCTCTCGGTGAGGAGTGGACGAAGCTCTCGGTGAGGAGTGGACGAAGCTCTCGGTGAGGAGCGGACGAAGCTCTCGGTGAGGAGCGGACGAAGCTCTCGGTGAGGAGCGGACGAAGCTCTCGGTGAAGAGCGGACGAAGCTCTCGGTGAGGAGTGGACGAAGCTCTCGGTGAGGAGCGGACGAAGCTCTCGGCGAGGAGTGGACGAAGCTCTCGGTGAGGAGCGGACGAAGCTCTCGGTGAAGAGCGGACGAAGCTCTCAGCGAGGAGTGGACGAAGCTCTCGGTGAGGAGCAGATGAAGCTCTCGGTGAGGAGTGGACGAAGCTCTCGGCGAGGAGTGGACGAAGCTCTCGGTGAGGAGCGGACGAAGCTCTCGGTGAAGAGCGGACGGAGCTCTCGGTGAGGAGTGGACGAAGCTCTCGGTGAGGAGTGGACGAAGCTCTCGGTGAGGAGTGGATGAAGCTCTCGGTGAGGAGCGGACAGAGCTCTCCGTGAAGAGTGGACGGAGCTCTCGGTGAGGAACGGACGGAGCTCTCGGTGAAGAGCGGACGAAGCTCTCAGTGAAGAGTGGAAGGAGCGGACAAAGCTCTCGGTGAGGAGTGGACGAAGCTCTCGGTGAGGAGCGGACGAAGCTCTCGGTGAGGAGTGGACGAAGCTCTTGGTGAGGAGTGGACGGAGCTCTCGGTGAGGAGTGGATGAAGCTCTCGGTGAGGAGCGGACGAAGCTCTCGGTGAGGAGTGGAAGGAGTGGACGAAGCTCTCGGTGAGGAGTGGACGAAGCTCTCGGTGAGGAGTGGACGAAGCTCTCGGTGAGGAGTGGACAAAGCTCTCGGGCGGTGAGGAAAAAGCGTTTGACAGCTCTTAATGGCTCTGATTTGGAATGCAATGAGCTCGAGGTGTAGTATCTACAAGATGGACTTGTCATAGGCCGTACAAAGTGGATTGATTCACACCATTACACAGGATAATTAAAATCATAACAAGCACTTGCAGTCATGAGGAATCCAAAATGTCACGATTATTCTATTTTTATTCAAGAGCTTTTACTTTATAACGGGACCCACACTCACCCACACATTTTAATCTACAGATGTCTCAAAGAACAGCATTTCAATTTTAGTTCAGCCTCCTATGTAGCCGTGCTACAAAATCTGCGATGCAACATTCTAGACCATGGCTCGTTGAATGAATATATTATTTTCATTAAAATATTCATCCTGCATAATCCGTCTGGATGGAACATCGCATTAAAAAAGTGTGTCCAGGGTGCCAACTGACACATACAGAGCAAACACGCAATCATGTGGCCTGTGACCGTTGCGGCTCATAACACTTCCACACTTTTTGTTGATGATTGATCCCGCACAAACCTATCTGATCATAATTAAAATCTTAGCGGGATGACTGCAATAAAACATCTCAGTACATAAAAAGCATTCCTTAATTTACACGTTTAATTTAAAGGCAGGTGAGCAACCACTGAGATCCTGCGGGAGACCTGGAATAGGACAGTCAATCAAGGTCGACATCAATGCTGCTGCTTCTTGTGCATGCATGGCACCCGCGTGGGAGAGCGGTGGTTACACTGCTGACACCCACGTGGGAGAGCGGTGGTTACACTGCCGACACCCACGTGGGAGAGCGGTGGTTACACTGCCGACACCCACGTGGGAGAGCGGTGGTTACACTGCCGACACCCACGTGGGAGAGCGGTGGTTACACTGCCGACACCCCCGTGGGAGAGCGGTGGTTACACTGCCGACACCCACGTGGGAGAGCGGTGGTTACACTGCCGACACCCAGGTGGGGAAGCGGTGGTTACATTGCCGACACCCACGTGGGAGAGCGGTGGTTACACTGCTGACACCCACGTGGGAGAGCGGTGGTTACACTGCCGACACCCACGTGGGAGAGCGGTGGTTACATTGCCGACATCCAGGTGGAGGAGCGGTGGTTACACTGCTGACACCCACGTGGGAGAGCGGTGGTTACACTGCCGACACCCGCGTGGAGGAGCGGTGGTTACACTGCCGACACCCACGTGGGGGAGCGGTGGTTACACTGCTGACACACACGTGGGAGAGCGGTGGTTACAACGTCGACACCCACGTGGGAGAGCGGTGGTTACACTGCTGACACCCGCGTGGGAGAGCGGTGGTTACACTGCTGACACCCGCGTGGGAGAGCGGTGGTTACACTGCCGACACCCACCCACGTGGGAGAGCGGTGGTTACACTGCCGACACCCACGTGGGAGAGCGGTGGTTACACTGCCGACACCCACGTGGGGGAGCGGTGGTTACATTGCCGACACCCACGTGGGAGAGCGGTGGTTACACTGCGTGACACCCACGTGGGAGAGCGGTGGTTACACTGCCGACATCCACGTGGGAGAGCGGTGGTTACACTGCGTGACACCCACGTGGGAGAGCGGTGGTTACACTGCCGACACCCACGTGGGAGAGCGGTGGTTACACTGCCGACACCCACGTGGGAGAGCGGTGGTTACATTGCCGACACCCACGTGGGAGAGCGGTGGTTACACTGCTGACACCCGCGTGGGAGAGCGGTGGTTACACTGCCGACACCCACCCACGTGGGAGAGCGGTGGTTACACTGCTGACACCCGCGTGAGGGAGCGGTGGTTACACTGCCGACACCCACGTGGGGGAGCGGTGGTTACACTGCCGACATCCACGTGGGAGAGCGGTGGTTACACTGCGTGACACCCATGTGGGAGAGCGGTGGTTACACTGCGTGACACCCACGTGGGAGAGGGGTGGTTACACTGCCGACACCCACGTGGGAGAGCGGTGGTTACACTGCGTGACACCCACGTGGGAGAGCGGTGGTTACACTGCCGACACCCACGTGGGAGAGCGGTGGTTACATTGCCGACACCCACGTGGGAGAGCGGTGGTTACATTGCCGACATCCAGGTGGAGGAGCGGTGGTTACACTGCCGACACCCGTGTGGGAGAGCGGTGGTTACATTGCCGACACCCACGTGGGAGAGCGGTGGTTACACTGCCGACATCCAGGTGGGGGAGCGTTGGTTACAACGCCGACATCCAGGTGGGGGAGCGGTGGTTACACTGCCGACACCCACGTGGGAGAGCGGTGGTTACACTGCTGGCACTCCAGCGGCCGCGGTGTTTTTGCTGAAATGAGAATTCAAAAATGCGACCCACACCCCTCGCCCGCACGGTGCACAGATTGAGAAGTGGCCTTTTCGGGCTCTAAGACAAAACCACTCCCCCGTATTGTTTGATTAAAACATAATACATTGTTTTCTCATTGGCCCTTATCACACATACCTAATGGCCTTGGCGCCAGTTCCATCAGCTATTGCCATATAGATTCACACTGCATTCTCCTCTACACCATTAATGTTGTTTCATGATAAATATCATTCGTCTAAATGCTGGACAGGATTATTAGAAATTATAATATAATTTTGTTTGTAGAGTACTTACAGTAACAATTATATTAAACCGGCCAGATGAAATTATTTTGAAAGAGGGCTTTAGTTTCAAATCCCACGTGTAATTTGTATTAATTTAATTACGGTTAGGCTATGGTTAACTGGACGGTGCTGATGGAACAGCGCCGGACGCAACATCACGAACGACGGGTGTGGAGACGGCGTCCAGATGCAACCGCTCCTCAGGACGCTGCACAGCGGGAAAATCAATGTCATAGAGAGGCAGCCAGTCGGAGGCAGAGGAAATGAGGAACGCCTCGAGCCCGGGCTTGAACAGGGGTAGGGAATTGACAGCATGGGTGTCTGGAGAAATACGGGCGTTCCAGACCTTAGACGAAACAGAGGAGAAAGGGCGACCTCCCGCTGAGCGAAGGTTGACCGGGGACTTCACATGAGAGCCTTAGCTGCTGGACCAGAGAGTGCTTGGAGGGAAGGTAGAGTGAGATGAGAGAGGAGAGGTAGGAGAGTTCCTGGAGGGGAGTATAGTGAGATGAGACAGGAGAGGTAGGAGAGTTCCTGGAGGGGAGTAGAGCGAGATGGGAGAGGTAGGAGAGTTCCTGGAGGGGAGTATAGTGAGATGAGAGAGGAGAGGTAGGAGAGTGCCTGGAGGGAAGTAGAGTGAGGTGAGAGAGGAGAGGTAGGAGAGTGCCTGGAGGGGAGTGGAGTGAGATGGGAGAGGTAGGAGAGTGCCTGGAGGGGAGTGGAGTGAGATGGGAGAGGTAGGAGAGTCCGTGGAGGGGTGTGGTGTGAGATGAAATGGGAGAGGTAGGAGAGTGCCTGGAGGGGAGTGGAGTGAGATGGGAGAGGTAGGAGAGTCCGTGGAGGGGTGTGGTGTGAGATGAGATGGGAGAGGTAGGAGAGTGCCTGGAGGGGAGTGGAGTGAGATGGGAGAGGCAGGAGAGTGCCTGGAGGGGAGTAAAGTAAGATGGGAGGGGAGAGGTAGGAGAGTGAAATGGATCTGGAATTATATTGGGAGCCAGTGGAGGGATCGAAAATTGGAATATAAGGGTGGTGCGGTCTCGCACATAAATGTCGGGGAATCATCACCGTTTAGGATAAATACAATTATCAACAGCAGTTGTCATGGACAGACTATCTTCTGCAATATCAATGTGGAATTTCCACTGCTGGCTTCAGATACATCAACTGTGATGAGTGTCACCCCAGTGCTGGTTCGCGCAATGAGAAACTTCGGCAATTTCTAATTATTGATATATTTGTGTGTTTGAATCATAGGCCACCGAGATGCTGGGGAACGGGGCGTTGAGCAACGCGCTGGTGGAGACCGCGTTCGGGGTGACCGTCCTGGACGAGAACGACAACGCCCCGACATTCAATCGCTCCGAGTACGCGCTCACCGTCTCCGAGCTGGCTCAAGTCGGCTTCGCCATGCCGCTCTTCATCCAAGTCGTCGACAAGGACCAGGTGTGCGCCGCGACGGCCCCCAGCGTCCACCTTTAAATCCGGATCCGCTCGTGGATCCGCTACCGTCATGGGACAATGGGAGATGGTGACAGCTTGGGGAGCTCTTAATGAGGATGAAACCGTATAAGAATAGGTTTTACCCTTTTAACTGGCACAAAAACTGACACCTTTATTCAAGGCATCATGTTTGCAATAACCACAACACAAGCAGTCAAAATGCAAACAAAAAAGAAAACTCTGATAATAATATGCACTGTCCTTGAATTTAGAGCCTAGTCACCAATGGAGACTAGGCTCTAAGAAAAGCCGTCTCGGGTGTGGACCAATCAAATTCAAGGACAGTGCATATTCTTATCAGAGTTGTCTTTTTTGTTTGCATTTTGACTGCTTGTGTTGTGGTTATTGCAAACATGATCCCTTGTATAAAGGTGTCAGTTTTTGTGCCAGTTGAAAGGGTAAAACCTATTCCTATATCTTGTTACTGGCAAAGGAGGTCTCATAAAATAGGATGAAACCGGTCTACGCTTGTCTCGGTTTCACTGCTGCCAGTTGGGATGGCAACAATTTTTTGAAATTTTAGTTGGCGACCCAAACAGTTAGCATGGCCACGCGCTCAACTCTTTGAGCCGGTGGTCTGGACAAGGCCGAGATCGTTGAAACGTGCAGTGCGGTGATTGCCTGCCACGCATCCGAGGCATGAGGATGGGAGTTGTACCTTCGTGCTGTTGGTGAGCAGCGGCGCGCCTTTGCACGCCGGTCAACTACATGCGGCCTGATGTTTACCACACATGCTTGTTTCTGCATCCGTGCGTGTGGGTTTGCATTATTTCCTACGATAAATCTGGGTTTGTAAACGAATATCGAAACGGACTGCTGCGCGATTTTGCGTCTTCGGCTCGGGGCATGTGTGGCGGCGGCTCAGTGATTGCGTGTGCGCGTTAATGCGAGTGTGTGTGTGTGTGCGCGCGCGTACCTGCTTGCGTTCGTTTCAGCCCGTGCGCTTGCACGCACTGCACACTGGCGTGCGTGCGTGTACCAAGTCGCCTTGACACGCGATGCCGACTGCCAAATTCTCATTCGCGCTCCTTCAGCAGTCGCGCACTAATCTTCCCTGAGAGGATCTGCGTATCCCCTTCGCGTAAATATTTAAGCGACGGGCCTGTTGTTTTTTTTTTTCAACACAAAAATGGGGAGGGAATACAATTGCTCGGAAAATATATGAATTGCCGATCATGTTTTTTTTTTTCCTACCAAAGCAGCCATTACATTTGCATCAAGACCCCTTTTTCCATAGACGCTGCTCTGGAGCAATGGACTTGACCCTAATTTACGTTGGGGCAGTGGTACTTTCAATTTTGCAGGCTCCACTGGGGATGGAACCTCTGTGTGAATTTGCATTCAGAGTGTGGAGCGATTGCTATCTTCTTCTTCTCCTTCTTCTCTCCTTTCCAAACTGTTTCAAATTGTCACTCTATTATTGTATATACACACTATAAACATATCTCACATTGTGTCATCACGTTGGCCATCACCACTCCGCCAACGTGAAAAAGAAACGTCGTTGTGAATTTAGAGAAGTGTAATGAAATAACGTGTTATTCTATCAATGCTTTGAGAGCAACGTCGGTGTTGTCAAGTCGATCACATTATTTAATTTGCAACATGGAAACTTTCTGGCTACATTAACAGAACTCAACGTAGCGCCATTTTTCACGACGAGCGGAACTAAGTGATTAATCGGTACGAGTTTTTTTTATTTATTTCCTCCGTGCAAATGAACGTGTGAAGCATGCCGGCGTCGTCCCTTGGCATCCCGTCGGCCAAGCGCGTGGCGCTTAACTGGCTGGGCTGCGCACCGCCACAGGCTCCATGCGCGTCACAATGCGTGCACGCAGGCAGATTAGGAACACGCGCACTTGGGCCCCATGTGCGTCACAACGCGTGCACACATGTGAGCTTTCGTAACCTGCCTGTGCCCTGCGCACAGAAGTTAGATTGTTCTCATGGCGCTTATATTCTTCACAGGCGCTCGGTCCGTGTGGCACGCGCACGTACGGGAGGACGTATGCGAGACGCAGGGGAATAGCGTGGGTTCCTTGGCTAACAGGTCCATTTATTTACGATAGATCGGTTGTATCTCTCCAAGTTGTGTCTCTGGCAGCGAGTGAGATGTCAGCGTATCGATTAAGCATTGTGGCTCAGGAGATTAGCGATGCTTGTAGATTTTATTGGCAGATTATTTAATAAGGACAATGTTCAAAGTCCCCACCAGCAAACACATATATATAAAGACAAAGATCCCCTGTATACTGTAGCTTGACCAGACTGTTGGGGCAAGTGCTGTTGGCGAGCACCTATGAAGGCCGGCACGTCACACGAGGGGCCACCCTTGTCTCCCTCGTGGCGATGTTTACACACTGTACCAGGTCCTCATTTGAGGTGGAGTCGACCTAGATGAGGGCCCAGGACAGGTTCAGATTATCGTCACTGGCGGTGTTGACCATGAGTGGGAATCGAACTCGGGTTACCGGGGTGGTAGCGCAGCGTGCTAACCCCTGCGCCACCGCTCCCCATACACACACAGTCACATATACGCCAGCGATGTTCAACTTATTTTAGAACCCAGATTGAATTAGCAAACATCCTTGGCACGTAGGTGCATTGTCTGCAAGACCCCGTCTCCCATCTGCCACACACTACAACTGGAGGCGGATTTCTGGGCAAGCACTCATCAAACAATCAACACCCGTCACAATCACTCGGACGTAATGCCATGGCTGCGCTGCCCCCTCCCATTCCCCAAAAAATGTGCAATTTGGGAGATTTTCCGTGCGTGAAATTGGTGGCCACCGCGTCACGATTTAGCGCCCCAGTAAAGTGAGCGGAATGAGCCGGGAGAACTCTTTCCTCGGGCCCGTGTTTGTGGAAAGCTTGGCACGGGCTGCCCCGTATCGATCACGTTGGGCCAAATAAACGTCCATATTTTTTACATCGCTTGAGGGATGTTTTTTGGCGAGGTGTAATTCTAGTCACGTGCTGTGTTCTCTCATTGCCATAATTCACCATGATACCTGGCACCAACATTATTCTAATCCGTTCGTGATTTCTAATCATCTTAGATAAGATAAAAAAAATCTCACAATACAAATTACTCAAAACATGTTTCGGAGATACATCTCTATTGGGATGTGTACTCAGCATGAGTGCTGCTTGTGAAGGACTCACGGTGTAGCATTTAAGGGGTTTCTTTACATCAGCGAAACACGAGAATGTTCACTCCAAAAAAAACATCCTTCTTGCCCGTTCCACGTCAACTGCAGCTGTCAAACAAATACGCTCTCTTCTCGCTCTACGCCACATTGTGGTCGTCCGTCGTTGATCCTCAGAACTCCAGCAGCTGAGACAGACAAGTTTTAGTTCTGCTGAATTCCATTGTTGTAATGTAGAGGGGGAGGGGGGAGGTTCCTTTGAATTATTATATTTGAATCAGTTTGCTTCAATTGCCAGCGTCTGAACTGAACTATCTCCCCGGTAAAATATCTCTTCTCTGCCCCAGAGCAGGATATAAAGGGTTCCACTCAGCAGAGCAGGGCTGTGGTGGCCATGCACGTGGGCCTCTAACCCCAACGTGGCGGAGGCAGCGGCGAGGGTTGGTGGATCGCACGAATGCTGTCAAACTCCCTTCCCATGGACATCGCTGGAGGAGCCATAACCTGGCTCGCAAGGAGAAAGCAGAATCAGAAGAATCATAATCTTTATTTACGCTGGAAGAATCCGGGTGCTCTGGCTTCCACCCACATCTATAATAAATTCTCCATAATCGGCTGAAAACATCTGACAAATAAAATGCAGGATCCTCCTGAAAAAGAGAGTGCTACGACTCACCGTGCTCTCCTGGAATCCACAAGATCTCGGTGGAATAGCGAGCCACAAGTGGAGCAATCACTCGCACTGGTGTACGCCAATATTGACTGCGAAAGCTAGAAACTCAGGATGTGTTTGTTTTTTTTATAACCTCGCGATTAATTGGTTATGATTTAAGGTCATGATTTTAATTAATATATATTTTAAAACTTTTAAATCGAGCGGTCAACGTTGGCCGGTGAGGTCACGTGATTCCATGTTGTATCCATGCTGTATACAACGTTGAAACATTAATTGTTGCACATGCGATTTTATGCATATATTACAAGTTTATGAACCGATGTTTACTAATATATTTATCATGACACTCCAACTTAAAACACAATTATGACAACAGTTATTCTCATTTCCAGCCATTTGCAAGTCCACTGCTGGATAAAGGCCTCCCAACACAATCACACTTGTCAGTAATGGGGTGTGTGACCATACCTCCCCACACTGGCCAATATGTGTGTGTGTCTCTGTATCTCTCTACATATGTCTGTCTCCATGTAAATCCAAGGGCCTTCCTCTCTGTCTCACTCCACGTCTCTATTTGGTGTCTCAGTATCTCCCGATCTCTTCACGCGTCGTCTCCCGCTGTCGGTTCTCTATATCACCGCGCGTCTCTCTCTCTCTCTGTGCACTGCCATCGGCGGTGTCTCGAAGAGCCCTTTTGGAACGTCGCACGCATTGCACGTGTCTCCTCTGCGTGGCCCCATTAGGGAGTGAACAGCGACTTCACGCTGCAGCTCGTCGGACAGAACGCCGCCGACTTTTTGGTATCGCCGGGCGCCGTGCGCGGCCGCACCGACGTCACGCTGCGCCTGGTGAACCCCCTCGACTACGAGACCTACCCAGAGTACAACCTCACGGTAAGACACTCCAAACACCGCAAACACCACCAACAACCATAAACACCGCCAACAATTCCGATAACACAAACACTACAAACACCGCCAACACCGCCAACACCACAAACACCACAAACACCGCCAAGACCACAAACTCCACCAACACCCACACCACAAACACCACAAACACCGCCCACACCACAAACACCACAAACACCACCAACACCACAAACACCACCAACACCGCCAACACCACAAACACCATCAACACCACCAACACTATAAACACCACCAACACCATAAACACCACAAACACCACCAACACCGCCAACACCACCACCAACACCACCAACACCACCAACACCACAAACACCACCAACACCACAAACACCACAAACATCACAAACACCACAAACACCGCCAACACCACAAATACCACAAACACCGCCCACACCACCAACACCACCAACACCACAAACACCACAATCACCGCCAACACCACAAACACCACCAACACCGCCCACACCACCAACACCACCAACACCACAAACACCACAAACACCACAAACACCACAAACACCGCCCACACCACCAACACCACCAACACCACAAACACCACAATCACCGCCAACACCACAAACACCACCAACACCGCCCACACCACCAACACCACCAACACCACAAACACCACCAACACCGCCAACACCACAAACACCGCCAACACCACCACCAACACCACCAACACCACCAACAATACAAACACCACCAACAATACAAACACCACCAACACCACAAACACCGCCAACACCACAAACACCACAAACATCACCAAAACCACAAACACCACCAACACCTTGATTCGAAGCTTTGGTGACTGCAGGAATTACTCTTTGTTTTTTTCGGTAAAGTCACGTATAAATAAGAAATAATAAAATAACATAATAGCGTACGACGTTTCGGTTGCAACACAAGCATCCATCATCAGGTACAGAAGAGCTAAATTTACGAGAGGAAACACATAACCTCAGATGTATATACAGACACCCAAGTCGGGGTCTATGTGTGTGTGCGCGGTCTGTATTTTAAATTTCATACTTAACTTGCAATTTAGCAATCTTTGAAATAGCGTAATCAACCAGACTTTGCGTTAATTGTGTTTTGACCGACCGTTTGTGTTGCTTTATATGATTTCCAAATTTTGCTAAACCCTGTTTGTTTGGTATGCTTCTCTCTCTGTGTCCCCTGTTGTATCTGTGTTAGTTCCCCCCTACTTGGGTGTCTGTATATACATCTGGGGTTATGTGTTTCCCCTCTCTCGTAAATTTAGCTCTTCTGTACCTGATTGATGGCTGCTTGTGTTGCAACCGATACGTCGTACGCTATTTTGTTATTTTATTATTTATTATTTATACGTGACTTTACCGAAAAAACCAAAGAGTACCACCAACACCACAAACACCACAAACATCACCAACACCACAAACACCACAAACACCACCAACACCACAAACACCACCAACACCACAAACACCACAAACACCACCAACACCACCAACACTATAAACACCAAAAACACCACAAACACCACCAACACCACAAACACCATCAACTCCGCCAACACCACAAACACCACCAACACCGCAAACACCACCAACACTATAAACACCAAAAACACCACAAACACCGCCCACACCACCAACACCACAAACACCACCAACACCGCCAACACCACAAACACCACCAACACCTTGATTCAAAGCTTTCGTTACTGCAGGAATTACTCTTTATTTTTTCGGTAAAGTCACATATAAATAAGAAATAATGAAATAACATAATAGCGTGCGACGTTTCGGTTGCAACACAAGCAGCCATCATCAGGTACTGAAGAGCTAAATTTACGAGAGGAAACACATAACCTCAGATGTATACACAGACACCCAAGTCGGGGGGAACTAACACAGATACAACAGGGGACACAGAGAGGGAAGCGTGTCTGTGCTGGTTCGCTCTACTTGGATGTCTATGTGTGTGTGCGCGGTCTGTATTTTAAATTTCATACTTAACTTGCAATTTAGCAATCTTTGACATAGCGTAATCAACCAGACTATGCGTTAATTGTGTTTTGACCGACCGTTTGTGTTGCTTCATATGGTTTCCAAATTTTGCTAAAGCCTGTTTGTTTGGTATGCTTCTCTCTCTGTGTCCCCTGTTGTATCTGTGTTAGTTCCCCCCTACTTGGGTGTCTGTATATACATCTGGGGTTATGTGTTTCCTCTCTCTCGTTAATTTAGCTCTTCTGTACCTGATGATGGCTGCTTGTGTTGCAACCGAAACGTCGTACGCTATTTTGTTATTTTATTATTTCTTATTTATACGTGACTTTACCGAAAAAACCAAAGAGTACCACCAACACCACAAACACCACAAACATCACGAACACCGCCAACACCACAAACACCACCAACACCGCAAACACCACCAACACCACCAACACTATAAACACCAAAAACACCAAACACCGCCAACACCACAAACACCACAAATACCACCAACACCACCAACACCACCAACACCACAAACACCACCAACACCACAAACACCACCAACACCGCCAACACCACAAACACCACAAACACCACCAACACCACAAACACCACAAACACCGCCAATACCACAAACACCACAAACAACGCCAACACCACAAACACCACAAACACCACAAACACCGCCAATACCACAAACACCACAAACATCACCAACACCACAAACAACGCCAACACCACAAACACCACAAACACCGCCAATACCACAAACACCACAAACACCACCAACACCACAAACACCACAAACACCACCAACATCACCAACACCACCAACACCACAAACACCACAAACACCGCCAACACCACAAACACCACCAACACGACAAACACCACCAACACCACAAACACCACCAACACCACAAACACCGCCAATACCACAAACACCACAAACATCACCAACACCACAAACAACGCCAACACCACAAACACCACAAACACCGCCAATACCACAAACACCACAAACACCACCAACACCACAAACACCGCTAACGCCACCAACGCCACCAACACCACAAACACCACAAACACCACCAACACCACCAACACCACAAACACCACCAACACCACAAACACCACCAACACCACCAACATCACCAACACCACCAATACCACCAACACCACCAACACCACCAACACCACCAATACCACCAACACCACCAACATCACCAACACCACCAATACCACCAACACCACCAACACCACAAACACCACCAATACCACCAACATCACCAAGACCACCAACACCACCAACACCACCAACACCACAAACACCACCAACACCACCAACACCACAAACACCACCAACATCACCAACACCACAAACACCACAAACACCGCCAACACCACAAACACCACCAACATCACCAACACCACAAACACCACCAACACCACAAACACCACCAACACCACCAACACCACAAACACCACAAACACCACCAACATCACCAACACCACAAACACCACCAACACCACAAACACCACCAACACCACCAACACCACAAACACCACAAACACCACCAACATCACCAACACCACAAACACCACCAACACCACAAACACCACAAACACCACCAACATCACCAACACCACAAACACCACCAACACCACAAACTTCGCCAAAAATCTCCACCAGCCCAGTGCCCTGGGCTGCAGCCACACAAGGTCTGCTATTTCGAAACAGCTCACAAATGTTGTTTATCGTCACTGCAGGCATATTAGCCAAACTAATGAGTACTAAAGGGGAATATGTTCGACCTGGGAACACTTTTTCTCATTTTCGCACCGACAGTAATCCGTAACTGTGAGCCCTAAATGTCGTGTTATTTTTGGACACCGTTAAGGCGTGCGTTAAGGTGTGCATTAAGGTGTGGTTTCCCACCAAAGGTATTTGAGAGTCCTATTAGAGACTTTGTGTGGAGCAGCTTCCCCACCTCTGTTGTAGCAGATCGATCCGCCTCCACTCACTTGAGTAATTCAAAACTAAAGATACCGCGATTCACTTTCATGGAGTTTAATTTATGAGGTCGCAATTTCAATTTGTACATTGGAGCAGCCTCCTTTGCATCCTAAAGCAATATTTTAAATCGCATTGGCATTAATTTAAGCCTTGGGTTATTGCACTACCCCAGTTGTACTCTCATTGTCATGTCATGAGACAAAGCATCCGTTCGGACCTCTTGCAGAGCAGTGCTTGTGTTAGATAACGGCTCAGGGAAGCGTATAACCCAGAGCTATCTCAGATCCCTTCATGTGATCTCTGGTCCATGCAGTTGGGGGCAATGCTTTCCCACTCGTCATGTCACTGAGGCGAATGTTCATTGCATAACGGTCAACCCGTAATTTAAATTTCGATTTAAAGCCTTCGTGACTGCAAGGATTCATCTTCTTTGGTTCTTTCGGTAAAGTCACTTAGAATGAGAATAAAATAATAAAATAATAAAATAATAAACTAAAATAATAAAATTCTCACGACGTTTCGGCCACAACACAAGCAGCCTTCTTCAGGTGAAAGAACAGAACTGTCGGGACGACAGAGCTTCAATTAACGCTGCTAAGATTCGCAGCGTCTTTTAAGCTCGGTGAGAGGCGCGGCGAGCCTTGACAAAGGAGTTTACATATCAGAGCAGGAGAATTTAGCATTGAAATAGTCGAGGGATTAGCTTGTGACAGAAATAGCTGTGTTAAAGTCAAAGTTTAAAAATCAACAGAGGCATTTAGTATATGGACGCTAAAGGCCTCCAATTACCAACTATTATAAAGTAAACCATAGCGTTTTTTACGCTCGGTGAGAAGCGTGAAGAGCCTTGACAAAGAAGTTTACATATCAGAGCAGGAGAATTTAGCATTGAAATAGTCGAGGGATTAGCTTGTGACAGAAATAGCTGTGTTAAAGTCAAAGTTTACATATCAACATAGGCATTTAGTATATGTACGCTAAAGGAGTCCAACTAAACAACTATCATAAAGTAAACCGATGTGAAAAAACTAGGTCTATATCACATCAATATAATAAATGTACTTAATATATTTTTCAATAAGTTGAGCTATTAATCATACAGCAACTGGGTATACATTACACTATATAATGTATACCATATAGTAAACCAATAAAAAAATTAAAATCTAAGCTCCTCAATGTTATCAAGCTTATATTTTAGTTTTTTATTGGTTTACTATATGGTATTCATTATATAGTGTAATGTATACCCAGTTGCTGTATGATTATAGCTCAACTTATTGAAGAATATATTAAGTACATTTATTATATTGATGTGATATAGACTGTTTTTTCACATCGGTTTACTTTATGATAGTTGGTTAGTTGGAGTCCTTTAGCGTCCATATACTAAATGCCTCTGTTGATTTTTAAACTTTTGACTTTAACACAGCTATTTCTGTCACAAGCTAATCCCTTGGCTATTCAATGCTAAATTCTCCTGCTCTGATATGTAAACTCCTTTGTCAAGGCTCTTCACGCTTCTCACCGAACTTAAAAGACGCTATGGTTTACTTTATAATAGTTGGTAATTGGAGGCCTTTAGCGTCCATATACTAAATGCTTCTGTGGATATGTAAACTTGGACTTTAACACTGCTATTTCTGTCACAAGCTAATCTCTCGACTATTTCAATGCTAAATTCTCCTGCTCTGATATGTAAACTCCTTTGTCAAGGCTCGCCGCGCCTCTCATCGAGCTTAAAGAGACGCTGCGAATCTTAGCAGCGTTAATTGAAGCTCTGTCGTCCCAACAGTTATGTTCTTTCACCTGAAGAAGGCTGCTTGTGTTGTGGCCGAAACGTCGTGAGAATTTAATTGTGTTATTTTATTTTATTATTTTATTCTCATTCTACGTGACTTTACCGAAAGAACCAAAGAAGATGAACCCGTAATTTGTTCATTCGCAGAGCTAGAATATAGGAAAATTAAGTTCAAAGCCATTTTTTACGTGATGGGGTTTACAGGTAGTCCTCTACTTACGATGGAGATGCGTTACGACGACCCCATCGTAAGTCAAAAATATCGTAAGTCGAAGATGGCCTAGCCTACCCAGGAGTCTTAAAGAATGGTGATAATTTAGCAAAACAGAGCAAATTACAGTACCGTACTGTATAAACTATATACCATATGTATTTATTAATTATAATACTGTATTGCACAGAAAAATGTAAAGTAAAAAACAAGGTAAATTCTTCGCCTAGCTATATGAACTGCAATATAATATAAAGTTTTTTCAGAAAACAATCCTATCTGCTATACAAACTTTTAACATGCATTGAACGTATAGTAACGTATCATTGTACTGTAGTCACCAAGATTCTGTCCGTCGTCTGCATACTTGAACGATGTTAGGTTGCTGATGGCAATTTTGTCGTATTGCTATCGCCATCGTAAGATCGAAATATCGTAAGTCGGACCATCGTAACTCGGGGACTACCTGTATTTTTGTGTGCAGTTATAAGTGACTGGGCTGAGACCATCAACTCTAGTAATAGGTTTTTACCCTTTTATCTGGCACAAAATACTGACACCTTTATACAAGGGATCATTTTGCAATAACCACAACACAAGCAGTCAAAATGCAAACAAAAAGAGACAACTCTGATAATATGTACTGTCCTTGAAATTGATTGGTCCACACCCGAGACAGCTTTTCTTAGAGCCTAGTCTCCACTGGTGTTGGACCAGAAGATGCCAAAAGGCGTCAGATAAAAGAGTAAAAACCTATTACTATATCTTGCTACTGGCAAAGGAGGTATCAGTATAAATACCATCAACTCTGTATATTCTTGAGAATTTGTATTGATTAGACTGGACTCGATCTTAGAATCTCCACGGTGTAAATTGAGCGCTCTGACCCCTGAGCCACCTGGCCACTTTAAAGGGCAGTGTTGTTGATATTATTATTCCACAATCAGCCACCACCATAAAGATCTCCGAGTGAAACTCTGCTCTGCTGTGGTAGCTCCACAGCTGCAAGACAACCCACGTGCTTGGCACGGTGACGCGGCGGCCGCACGCCGCCAGCAACGGTCCCCTAACAGCTGTTGTGAGGTCGGTTGGGCCCTCGCGCGAGTGTGGATGTGACCCTCACTCGTGTGTGTGTATGCGTGCGTGCGTGTGTGCGTGCGCTCGCTCGTTCGTTTCCGGCGGTCACAGCTTTTCGCCAACGAAACGTCAGGGGAGCACTGGGGCTCGGCACGCGTGCACATCACGCTGATCAACGAGAACGACAACCGGCCCATCTTCAGCCTGCCACTCTACAACGTCAGCGTGTGGGAGAACGCCACGCTGGGCACGTCCGTTGTGCAGGTCCTGGTGAGTGGCACCTGCCAGGCGTTTGGACCGACGGGCGAAGGGCTAAATCGTTTTTTTGTATTCGTCGTCATCGCCAGCCATGCTCAATCCACTGCTGGAGAATTGAGGGAGGCGTCCCCAAGCTATGAGAGCGGCAAGGCCAAACGGATTGCCACGGCGGTGTACAAGGGTTTTACAACGCGCCAATTATTTTTGTTTCAGCTCACGCACCGAGAAGTTGAAGAACAATTCTCAGAACCAAATGTAGAAATTATACGGCGCTTTGTCTGAGTATATCAAGCATCACTGGGCCAATATCCAGGAAGTATGAATATAAATCCATCAAGTCACAATATCAGAGAGCCAAATCCAAAAATGTATCATGAATCATATTTTTACATTTACTGCATTTTTCAAGGTGAACTACTAAAGCACTTGCAAATGTAGCTGGCTTTATTTTGGGTTCTTTGCTATTTATTAAGGTTTCATGCAACTATTTGTGCACATTAATTTTATTAAGGGCTTCATGAAATTAGTGCAGCGTGCAAACCACTGCATCACTGCTAACACTGGTAAAAATTAAGTCAGACGCACTCGTTGATTGCGAATAATTGAAAATGAAAGGGATAATCACACGCTTGTATGCGATCAATTGGAAGATATGCTGTAGATTAGGGAGAATTAATTATTAAACCACCGGATTACCAAACCCAACAAAAGCTCAGCAGCCTCGCCGCACAGAGACGCAAGCGATTTCTTAAACGCTAATGCACTCCTCTCCCGTCTACACGTTTACGCGCAACAGGGTCAATCGTTGCACAAGCCACTTCGCCCGTATTGCTTTCAGCTCAGAGTTTCTCGGATAACCGCGTGGAGGATGCGTGCCGTTGCGGTGGGGAGAGACGAGTGTTGGGCGGGGAGGTTTGTCCGAGCGCACGGGCGCAAGCGTCCGCGGCGGTTCGGGTCGGTGTGGCCGCGCGTCGCATGGTCGGCGGAGATTTCTATTTAGATGGCGCTGGGAGGGGGGTGCTCTCACGGCAGGATGCATCGATTAGCTCGACGCGGCGCAATGGCTGGCGCCGCTTATCAAGAGCGCGGACTTAATAACTGGCACGTGAGTCAGGCTTGGGACCGACGGGGCGAAGGGCTAAATAGTTTTTAAAAAAACATATGCGGAGACTATTTATTTTGTTTGTGTGGGGTGGGCGGGGGGAATTAATTACCGACCGTGAATTGTGTGCCGCAGTGAGGCTCCTGCCGGGTGGTTGGGACGATAAAAGCGCCATTATCGCATTGAATTATGGGGCTAATGTTGTGAATGGGAGAATTAAAATTATTTCTCGCCCCAATCAAAGGAGAGGGAGATAAATATAACTTGGAAAATGATCTACAAATTCCCACAAAAAAAATCAAAAAGCGCATGTAGGTCATTACAATTGCAGAATAAATGCTCTGCAGTAATTCTTACGGCAGCCTCTACCACGCATGGCAGTTTGGGTAGTGGGAACGGAGCCCCAAATCAACAGAGCACCTGTCTTCTCCCTCTGCGTGCATGGGACTGCGTACACGCAGAGCTTCGTGACACACATCGGTCTCTACCTGCATGCAACTTGGCTACCACTGCTAACTGACAGATAAGCAGCCGTTATTGCAACTTAAACTGAGGTCACTGCTTACACATGGCATTTTGAATTGGGGTCTATAAACCAGCCGAAAATAATAATTGGGCAAACTTTGTGCTACTGATGTTACATACTGTAACAAAAATGTAGGCCCGTACATGTCTGGTAAAGTGTTTTAGGATATTGTAACAGGATAGACCTGTGTTTAATATGAGTGCATTCAGAATGTTCTTGGGGTTAGGCGTAGTAAAAATGTAAACTATCTAAAGCAGGGGTTCCCAACCCCCGGGACGTGGACCGGTACCAGTCCGTGGCCTGTTAGGAACCGGGCCGCACAGCAGGAGGTCAGCGGTGAGTCCGCGCGTGGCCCGCCCATTATTTTATTATTTACCACTTCCGTCCGCGCCTCTTTCCCGCACTGCGCACTTGTCTCAGTCACAGTGTTGGTAAGCCCACAAGCTGACCCCTAGTAGCCACAAGGAGTAAGCCCACAAGCTCTAACCACTAGTAGCCACAATGAGTAAGCCCACAAGCTCTAACCCCTAGTAGCCACATGGAGTAAGCCCACAAGCTCTAACCCCTAGTAGCCACAATGAGTAAGCCCACAAGCTCTAACCCCTAGTAGCCACAATGAGTAAGCCCACAAGCTCTAACCCCTAGTAGCCACAAGGAGTAAGCCCACAAGCTAACCCCCAATAGCCACAAGGAGTAAGCCCACAAGCTAACCCCTAGTAGCCACATGGAGTAAGCCCACAAGCTAACCCCTAGTAGCCACATGGAGTAGAAAAGCAAACGTCGCTGGAGAGCTTCTTTGAAAAGGGGGAAAGACCCAATGATGAACCCCCCCCCGGTCCGTGAAAAAATAGTCTTCCACGAAACCGGTCCCTGGTGCCAAAAAGGTTGGGGACCGCTGATCTAAAGGATTCAAAATATCCATTTACCACCGGGAGATGTCTTGCTGATGTTTGCACGTATTATATTTCAAAATATGTAAAATATTGTTCGTCTTTGTCTTCGTGTTTTTGCATTTATATTCCAGGCGACCGACCTTGATGCGGGTGTGTTTGGGCAAGTTTCTTACCACTTCAGCGATGACTCGGATAAGTAAGTGACACTTGCAAGATATATGCCCTTTATTTAAAATAACAACAACACTTTATCTGCGATCTTGTTGCATGTAGAACAATCACCTTGAAGGGATCACATAATGTAGTAAGAGGAGGAGATGCAGGGTCTGTTTTACATATTTTACGTCAAAAAATATTAAGTATCCCCATACTTAGTGTTAAATGAGTTTTATAAAGTCCTTGGGCAAAGGTCAGTGTCTGTAGGACAACCAATGTTGAATCCCACATTCCTTTGTTGAGACAAGGCCCTCTCTGGAATGAACATTGATGAGCACCCCATGCTTTACTAGGCAATATTAATTTTGTACCCCTTACAATGGTGATGGAGCTGATGATGGTAATTATGACAAGGACAAGTCAGTTGTGTTCAAGATTTGAACCCACTGTCATGGGTGGGGAGATCTACTGCTCTACCAACGACGCTGGATCATCACGATCGTCATCATCATCGACACCGCACCTGCCATGCAGCACAGCTTGAGGCACTGGCACACTTGGTTATTTCAGAAAATAACCAGAGAATCACTCAGCGAGGAAACGATTGCAGACAAAATACAACGTGCAAAAGCAACGCAGTATAAAATAAGATATTTGTATTTTAGCAGGTAAGGCACACTGAGCTCTTGTTCAGAAGCGACCAGGCCACAAATGATAGCTCAACGAAGTGACTAATCACATGGACATTTATAGCAGCAAAATACTCTGAGTGTACGTTTCTAAAACAACATACATGGACATAGAATTCAAAACAAAGCTAAACTGTGCTCGAGACTGCTATGTGTTGTCCGCTGTATTCAAGTTATTAATTCACTATGCCAGCCCCTTTTACCTTGCTCTGTAATTACTACCAAGCACAAAGCAACACTGTGCCTGCCTGCCTGCCTGCTGCATTGCCGACGGTGTAAACCTATCCACCCTGCACGTCGTTCCCTCGCCCTGCCCCCGTTTCGAGGTTCTCCCTCGACCCGGCCTCGGGGTTGATCTCGGTGGCGGCGGCGCTGGACTTCGAGGCGACGCCGCGCTTCACGGTGACGGTGATGGCGCGGGACGGCGGCGGCCAGGAGACGGCGGGGCGCGTTCGCATCAACCTGCTGGACGTCAACGACAACACGCCCGTCTTCCAGCGCGACTCCTACGTGGGCACGGCGCGCGAGAACGACAACTCCCTCACGCCCGTCGTGCGCGTGCGGGTAAGGCCTGGGCCCTCCCTCCTCCTCCCTCCCTCCCTCCTCCTCCCTCCCTTCTTCCTCCTTCACTTCCTCCTTCGATCCCTCCTCGCTTCCTCCTCCCTCTACTTTCTACCTCCCCACTCCACGGGACAGAATCAGAATCTTCATTTATATTGGAGGAATCCGATGAGCTAGAAAGCTCTTTTTCACAGATGTCCAGTCGGGGCGGGTCTGAACGCTACAACAAAAAACAATACGGAAAACATGGTAGGAGTGTAAAGTATTGGAATGGTAAATAAATAACTTTAAAAAATATATATGCAAATAAAACTAAACTATGTTTTATCTCAACAAAGTGGCTTATCACGTGGAAATTTACAGCAGCACAATAATGTAAGCGCATGTTGATTCTAAATCTGGTGGGAAAAACTGAAGGAGCCGGAGAAACAATCCACACGACCGTGCGGAGAGAGACACCGCAAACTAAAAATATACAGGTGTCAGGGTCGGGATTGAACCCACAGATCTTGTAGCATACTAGACACCAAACACAACTACTGATCTCTCTTGGCACGTATTCCCATCTTTTTGAGCTAACGTAACAGCACCGTAATGCTGAGTGTTCGTATAGTTGCGTCGTTCATGAAACTGCATCACATAATGCTGCGCGATCCGTAAAAACGTGGAGGTGCACGTGCATTAAGATGTCTTCAGCCACCTTAATGCACGTGTTTACACTGTGCGAGAAAACCGGAGCATCCCGAGATAACCTACGTTCACGGGGGGGGGGGGGGGGGGCGACACATTTCCCATCCAGATGGGACAAATGGAGATTAGTCCTCACTTGCCGTAGCCCTTTTTCAGACAAGCCAGGGTGTGTCACCTTGACGCATATGAGAAGGGAGGTCACAACAGTGCTGGATTACATAAATTATAATAATACAGGTTTCCCTCGCTTTGCGCGGGTTCAGTTTGTGCTATTTTATCTATAATGCGGCTAACCTATTTCGACCCAAAAATGACATGTGGCTATGCGGTTGGATATGCCATAGTGTTCTGTGTACCGTATGTGCTGCTCTTGTGCGGTTTAGCTTTGCGTGCCATTTTTTTGGAACGCATCTACCGCATAAAGCGAGGGAAACCCGTATATAATAGCAAAAATAATTAGCCATCATGCACAGTTGCCTACTTTACCCAGTCCTCATGGTTTACACGATACACAAGATTCCTGGGCCGGCACTCATGGGGAGCTGTTACGTGAGACACTGGACATCTGTGAAAGAGAGCGTTATAGCTATTAGGATTCCTCCTCCAGTATAAACAAATATTCCGATTCCACATGGTAAGCCACTTCGTTGAGCTACCATTTGTGGCCAGGTCGCTTCTGAAAAAATTGCTATACAGCTCAGTGGGCCTTACCTGGTTAAAAAATAGTATTGGTATAGGAAATCTCTGTGTCGATAAATAATGACGAGATTTGTTCTGACATTGCCGTGTGTGCGTTTTTATGGAGAGGATAATGCCACAACTAGAGCAACCGGCATCATTCCCCGTCCCTTAAGCTGCAGCAACTGAACTTGAACATTTTAATTAGTGTTTGTTTATGTACGGCAACTTGTTTCATTAAAGATGCTCCCAGGATGATGTGCGTGCACTAATTCACGCACTTAAGGGTACATGCAATTATGTCGTGTGATTAATTAAACAAACGTGAGAAATTATATGCAATTGTAACAAGGTTACGGGAGTGCTTGAACCTTACAAGAGCAATTGATATGTATGGGAGATTTGGAAAATTATTATAATTGTTGTATTGTTTTGATGTATGATTTGAGGAACTGGGGCTTTTGAAGTTTGATAGGTAATTTCACCGTTTGAACATGAAGGCAAGTTAAAATGTACATCATGCCGTGTACATGATTAAACAAATACTCGCTCTTTTTGCCCATCCAAGGACGGGTGTATATTGCAGTAAATCTGAAAGATTCAATAGAAAAATTGTTCAGCTCATGATTATTAATGAGGGGGGGGGGGGGGTTGCCCCACGCACGGATGTAGCACTGTGCTGCATATATTTATTTTTTACCGTCACTTTCTGTAAAGAAACGTCATATTTAAAGCAACTTTGCATAATACATTCTTTAATTCGGCTCGACCTTCCTCTGAGTTAGTGTAAAAATCCACCCACTCATGAGTATTAATGAGGGGGGTGGGCCCCATGTGGAGTGAAGTCACGCGTCGGGGTGAGCCTCACGTGGAGTGACGTTACGCGCAGGACGGACAGACATTTGTGGGTGATTATAGTAGGGATTGAGGGTATGGACCCGGAGAGGAAACTGGGGCAGACCAACATTCGATGCATACAAATGTGTTAAATAAACATCATAACAGCATTTTTAAAAATATTCTCATTATGAGGTAAGTTACAGACATTTATATGGTAACTTTATTTTGTATATAGTGAGCGGGTGTGACAGTAGCCATACATCCCATTCTTGGATCAGGATTTGTCGGTGACCACCTTGTTAGGCGGGCATGGGAGACGAGGGGCGGCGGTGGTGTGGCTACACCACGCTGAGCCGCCGCCTTTGTTTCCCAGGTGTTAAACTTTACCCTGGGTGGAGCAGTGGTGCTGCGATGAGCACACTGCACGATGAATCCGGGGCCACCTCAGTTTGATTCCCAGCCACAGCTAAGATCAGTTGGTTGGTGGTTGACAATTTAACCAGCCCTGGTTCCCCTTCACAAACCCATCCACTGTTCGGGTTCCTTATGCAGTAATCTTGGGGAGGCCTTCATCCAGCAGTGGATTGACCATGGCTGACGATGATGATGATGACACTGATAAAATAAAACAGCCACATTTTTTTTAAAACAGGACCCTCCCAGCGGTAAGTCCTGAGACTCAGGAAGTATTTCCAGGGTTCATAGGGACATTATAATTACTTTATTATCATCACTATACGTACCGCTTCTAGCCCCCTTACACTGGAACAAACTTCCCCTACATGTCAAACAATCGGGCTAACTGACTATTTTTAATTCTTACCTTAACACTTATTTTGCCTCGCTTACCCCAGCTCCTAATTCCCCGTCCATTATCTATATTTAACACCATCATCTCTCTTCCCAATTTCCCAACCCATTCATCACACTCACTCATTATCATCAACCACTCATTGTCACTCTCATCATCGTGCATTTCACGCATCGTTATATCACGCACTACCATCCTCATCAACATATCATCTCATCGCACCGTTTCAATGTAAAACTGCGAATTCTCTGTTTAGCGCCTTGGTTAAGGCAACTATATAAATGAGAAAGTAAAAAAATATAAGATGCCACAAAAAAACATTTGGACAGACATACTCCACCCAACCCAAAACCGGCTTCCAATAAACAGAGGTTACAGTTTACTGGTTTCACCGAGCTCACCGGGTTGGAAGGGATACCCTCTGCTGCCGGGTGAAAACTCGAGAAGCCTGCACGGAGCTTAATTATAGTGCGCTGCTAACGACACCCATGCATCACCGTTCCCACTCAGGGCGCTGTAACAGGGTTGGTCAGACAGGCCAAGGAACAGCTGTAACGTTGCAAAGTATTTATGGCATTACCCGGGGAGGCAGAGCTCATTAGATGGCCATTATGTTTTCAATTTTCTCCCTCTGCATATTAGAAGAAGGAAAAAAAAACACTGAGGAAGTACTGGGGGCTGTCGAAGCCAAGAACAGAGTCCTGTGCAGAAATTAGTATGAGTGCCATGATGGACTGTAGCTCCCACTCAGCCCTCGTGCTTAGCCTGAAAAATTAATTACACGAGTATAATGCATGCAATGTGAATGACTCTTTGTGCTTTTAACCTGCGTTTCTCACGCATTGATAAGTAGAAATGTGTGGCAATGCTGCCTAGGAGGCAAAGCGGTAAGGGCGTGAGCAGCAATCGGGAAGATGCCACCTTAAAATCTTGCTTGTGGGCTCACTCGGCCCATCATACCTCCTCCAGGGTCGATTAAATGATGGGCTGACTCAGCCCATCATACCTCCCCCAGGATCGATAAAATGATGGGCCGGCTCAGCCCATCATCCCTCCTCCAGGGTCGATAAAATGACGACAACTTTGCAGGGAAGCCAACAGTGGTTGTCCTCTGGATATACTCGCCCCCCACCTTCTCCAAAGGAAATCCACAACTGGCTCATTGCTGAAAATAGGAGATGAGCGTCACCTCAGTGCTCATTTGAGCAGAAAATCACTTTTACTGTTGACAATTTTTATGTGCGTGTGTGCGTGAATAAAGTCGTAGCGGTAGTGTAGCGGTTAGCGCACTGCGCTAAGAACCCATCCAATACCAGTGACGATTATCTGAACCAGTCCTAGGCCTCCGTTTGGTAGACTCAGCCTTAAATGAGTATCCGTTGTGGTGTGTAAACATCGTCACTGGGGAGACAAAGGCGGCCGAGCGTGGTGCTGGCCACCCACCCCCTCGTGTGCTGTGCCGGCCTTCATAGGCGCTGCTACCCGCTAACAGCACTTGCCCCAACAGTCTATTGAGGCTACACCGGGGGAATCGTTGTCTTGTGCGTGAATATACAATTTTACCAAGACGGGAAAGATTTTTTTTTATTGTTGTGCAAGTGATTGTAGGAGATGACTCCGTCTGCTACTCGGTAAATCATGAGCGAGCCCTGGGATCCATTTGAGGGAGACCTCTAATGTAGCACAATTAAAGAGCATCGCCATTTGGCTCGGCAACGATGAACCTCATTAAATTATGAACTGGATCTTGTTATGCCGCTACATTTTTAATAACGACCCTGGGTAATTGGCTATTAATACGCGGAGGCCAATGCCCTTTTAAACATTCAGGTAAAGCCACCTACCCTTGACTTTGATTGCCTTTTCCTTCTTTACACAAACTGCAAGGAAAGCAACAACAACAAATAATCTTGGTAAAAGATTTGTACCCCAAAAGATGTATAATTGGATCTTTTGGTTAATAGGCTATAAGTATGTGTAATTAAGCCACCGTGCTGTAGGCAGGGCGAGCAATTATGGAGTTATTGATTGATCCTAAACCTCATTCTCATTTGCTCATGCAACCCTTACTTGACTCGCTGTGCTACTAGATAGTGCACTCACCGGGAAATTATTAAATTGTAAATATATGTACCTGTCCGAGAGTCCTAAAGCCGCTATATTTCCGTGATTTTTAATTGAAGTCACATCTAAGGGCACTCGGTTCTTGAGAGCATATATTGCAATACGTGAAGAGATGTACGCTCAAATAATCCAACCTAATCGTTCTTCATAAAACATATTCTCATTAATAAAGTAATAAAGTGTAATGTGAAATATTCTTCATTTTTCCCCAATGCAATCGCAACGAGTACCGTTAGAAACGAAACCGCGTAGGCTGAGTAGAGACATGCGAGGGTTAAGCAGCGCCTGGGGAGCAGTTGCACAATCGCTGTTTTTATCCACATTTAAATTTCTTAAAAAACTATTCTGAAAGATGGCTAAAGTTTGCAGGTTTCCCTTCTGCCAGATGAAGCATGCATTTCAATCTCACATTCCCATTGCTTAATATTAATGCCCAGCCCAGCATATAGATGCACATAGAGATGTAATATTAACTGCCCTGACTGGTGCACTGCACAATATGCTGTGTGGATCATCAACCTTCAAATGTAACTCAACCTGGCCCAGAAGAGAGGTGATGAGCGAGCAGACACAGCTCTGCACCCACTAGCATTCGCTGCCCCTGCATACTCTGGGAAACAATGTCCGCACCAGCGGAGAAACATCCAATTGGATTATATGGCATCTAAATGCAATTGCATCTCCAGGCTCTGTACATAAAACGTGGGCATATTTATATTGTATGGAGAGAAGCAGCCAATCACGTGCAGAGGAAGAGAGGAAGGCCTTGAGCCTGAACTTAATTACAGAGAGGGAGTCGACAGCAGCAGCACGGGCGGCCTGGGGAAGCGAGTTCCAGACCATGGGGGCTTTAGAAGAGAATGAGGGATCACCTGCTGAGTGGAGGTTGACTCGGAGCTTCGACAGAGAGCATTGGTTACTGGAGCAGACAGGGCGTGGATGGGCGTAAACAACAACGTGAATAACTCCAGTCATGACTCCCATCACAGGATCCATCCGCGTGCATCCAACCCCATCTCCCCAGGTGTCTTCACCCCGCTGTTCGCAACCTCTTCACAATCCACCTCTTCATATGCCCTTCCATAAACCTGCATCTCCGCACACAGAGAACTTGCTAGCCCTTTCAGGTCTCCCCCTCTGGCCCTCTCTATCCTCAAGCTCATCCTATTTATTTACAAAAGGTCGATGGGTCAATGTGCGGTTTTTTTTTCTCTCTGACACACGGGCTGCACTTCTCTGCAACATTTTTGATTGGGTTCAGCATCTTGTGACGTTGCGAAAAATTTAGGGCTAAAAAAATAATACGAGTATTTTCATCATCATCCATGAACAATCCATAACTGGATGAAGACCTCCCAAAGCCATTCCCATCCAATGGTGGAGCCAGGATTTTAAGGTAGGGGGGCAACCCCTCCAGCAATGAAACATGATAGAGGAGTTGTTAGTAAGTAAGGACTTGTCCCTTGCTTTTTATTCGACACGTGCGGCGATGGCGCAGCCATCGATCGAGGGTCAAATTCGAACCGCGTTGTGTGATCGGCATCGCGCTCGCTGAAGGTGTTGATGCCTTCAGGGAAGTCGTGGACTGTATACGAGACTGCGCACAATTCTGCTTTGCCGTTACTTATTGCCAATTATGGACTCAAGGCTATTGTCCTATCATCTCATAGAGTCCCTGGCGCGTAATAATATGCTACACAGTGGCAGTGGGGGGTCGCAAAATACCGATTTTTTTACTAAAAGACCCCAATGATCCGATCGAAATTAGGGATTTCGATCGGATCATCGGGGGGGGGGGGGGGAGTACATGCCACGATACCGTCCCCCCGACTGGCTCCGCCAGTGTTCCCATCGCTCATTACACTGCGATGATTCACCAAGCGCTGCACCTGGAGTGATATAGTCACTCTCCTCAATTTCGCGTCCTTTTGGATGCGTTCTGTTCCTTGGCAAAAAAACAATTTTTAAATCGAAAATGTAAATGTTTGCTACAAAAAAAATACTTGAAACATTACAGTGAAGCGCGTGAGCGGCCAATTGATTTTGCGTGCATTGCGATGGAGGGACGGATGGCTTGACGACTCTCCATAGCGATGCATCTTTGCAGCACCGTTGCTAATCCTGTGGCTGGTGCGACGCGCCAGGCGACGGACGAGGACTCCCCACCAAACAACCAGATCACGTACAGCATCCTGCCCACCTCTGCCTACTCCTCCTACTTCAGCATCACCGTGTCCGGCGGCTACGGGGGTGAGTGCTTTCGCTCGTAATGGCAATGGCGGAGAGATGCTCGCGGAGCGAACGTCAGCGGCGCCGCACGCATTCACATCACATTTTGGTTAACACGTAGGCTTTTGCAGCCAACATTACGATTCGTAAATTATCGTTAAGTGTAAATAATGATGTGGCCATGTTTTAAGACTCTACAATTATGAAATTTGGCTGTCAGAATTGGTTTTCAGCTTAATGGTGAGCTGAAATAATAACAATTGGTGTGTTAAACACTTCTGGACGTGACAAACTTAATTTGTTTGATTGCGTCGGGTGGTGGAGGGTCTTCATGCCACAAATTTGGTCAGATCGTTACACAGCCTAACCCACAATTAAATTATGAATAACATTAAAGTAATTACAAAATGATGACCAGCCCAAGGATTTGTGATCGTTTTCTTGAAATAGCTAAAAGTATAATGCACACATTATCTCTGGGATGAAAACAATAATTTAAAAAGTATTTAATGAAACAACGTATGAAATTATGACGACACGTTTAACTGCATTTCATTTTTCAGGGCGAAGCAACAAGCCTTTTTGTAATTCTCATTTTAGCTTTCATAGTTAATTTAAAGACAATATCTTAAACAACGCATCTGCTCGTATGAGAGCAAAGGCCAAGTGAGGTGACACTGCACTTGCGAGTGTGCATGAACTCCAAAATATGATCACGCGCCGTGGGTTTTTGACGTATTTGGCGAGACGTTGACAGATGACAGGAGTGCAAAGGTTCAAAATTAAATGAAACGGTGGCAGTCGGTACAGGATGTGAATGTTAACAAGCTTGTCGCGTGCGCGCGTTTGTGTACTTGTGTCTGCACGTGCCAACACAAGAGTCTGCCTGACAATCTATCTACGGAACTTCAATGTCTGAAGGGCCATTTATGCTATTAGAATAATTTCCTTTTTTTCTCTTGCATTAGTTTTCCCAATTACCTGCAAAACGGGATATAACATTCTCCTGCTACGGATCAAAGATCTTTCCGGCAATGAAAATGCCCCTCATGCTCCGGAAACCACAAGAACAAATTCACATTGCAGAGAGAAAGTCAGGTGATTAGTCTCCCTTATTGGGCTCTCCATCAAGTGTCTAAAATATTGCCATATAATCGGCACTCTTTGTAGGAAAAAAATGTTTGCACTCCATTGGGCACATTTTAAATTCAATGCTCTCACAACCGGTTAAGGCAAAATTAACTAAAAAACATCAATTCTTAAAGATATAATCATTGGTGACTTAGTCGAGAACACAAAACCCACCTCGGTGCCTGCAGGATCCCCAATTAGCTCCGAGTGGCAACCCGGCGCAGGAGCAAAGCCTCCAGAGCCAACGCTGCCACGTCACACGGCCGTTTTCGATGTTATAGTTGAGCTTTAAAATCTAACCCGGCGTTTTATCAGAGCAACCCCGATCTCAGGCCAGAGCCTTTCCGTGCAACATAGCGGCAGGAATTGCTATGCGTATGGCAGCGTGAACACGGTTACCTCGGGGCGCCATGGTGGCGAGATGTTAACTACCTCACCTGGTATACGGGAGGTCGTGGGCACGACCCCAACCCTGACGTCTGTATATTTGAAGTTAGCATGTCTCTCTCACCATAGATCGGATTTTTCTCTGGGTCCTCCAGTTTTTCCCTTCGTATTTAGAAACAGCATGCGGTGTAGAGTATTTGGCTGCAATACATTTCCATATGGTAAGCCACTTCGTTGAGCTATAATTTTGGCCAGGTCAATTCTGAAAAAGAGCTATATAGCTCAGTGGGCCTTACCCGCTAAAATAAAAATAAGTTAAATAGTTTAAACCTATGGCTCAAGGAAATGAGCTGGGCTGAAGCTGCAGCTCAGGGTTGCTGCCAATGAAATATTTTTTTTGTGGAAAATGTCTAAATTGTCTTCTTTTGCCATTTTTTTTTATATCACTCTACTCGCAAATGACTTAATTATGAAACACACAGCAAGCTTTGCCCCCGACCGTGAAAAAAACATCCAAATGAAGATTCTTGAGACTCAGAGAGGCATTCCTGGGTATACACGTATAACTATAATTTGTAATTTTGCTTATGATTAATACAACATGGCTGTTGGACTGCCTTGTCACAACTCTAACTACTCTGACAGGTAAACAGAGAGATGTCTGTGTCACCTTGTAAAAAACAAATAAGATAAATGAACATTTTCGCCCATGAGCCTTTGGGCTCTCTGTTTTCCAGCAGCAGTTGTTTACTGCTGCCTGTTTGGATGGCGAAACATACATTTTGGGGTTTGCGGACTGAACAATAACATTGCCATTCGGCTGCCTTTTAGGCTGGTGGTCTAGACAAGGCTGAGAGCGTTGTACATCCAATGTGGTGGTCATATGACGCACATGCAAGGAATTATGGAAGTCGTGTCTTCCTGCTGTTTGTGAGCAGCAGCACATGTTTGCGTGTTGCTATTTTTAGAAGTTGACAAACTGGACCAGTTTTGACTCTCATGAGCCTCATCAGTGGAGTGTGGCTAATTGAACGACACACAATTTTAACCGGTCAACTCACGAAGCCTGATGTTCCAGCATGTGATTGCGCTCATGCCTCCACGCATGTCCTCTCCCCTCCTCCCGCGTGGCATCCGCAGTCGTGACGCTGGCGCGCGCCCTCGACTATGAGAAGATCCCTGGGGGCACCATCAGCCTGACCATCATGGCACTCGACGGCGGATCGCCACCCCTCAACAGCACCGTCACCGCCATCGTGGAAGTCTTCGTACGTTTTTCCGCCTCTAAATTACCTCTTGCCTGCATTGTTATTAATCTTAGCTATTGCCATCCCACACTTCTCCGGTCTGATGAGTTTCCCATCAGTCATTTACAGAAGAAAATGTCCGAGTTGGTTTATTGTCGTCCTAAGGCAGTGCCAGACTGTCTTCTCCGCAGTTACAAGGGATGGCTTGGCTGCTACTCTGTGCTGATGATGATTAACAAGGATGAAACCCGCATACAGTTGTCTCATTTTTATGCTGCTGTATTAATGTATGGTCAAATAACCCCCACCACCCCTATGGCGCGGGGCAGCCATCATCCAGCAGTGGACTGAGAAAGGGCTGTACGTGTAAATGGGCTGCGTGTCCTTGGCTTTCTGACAAGAATTTCCCGCTGCGTTAAATGAGATAAATAAACGCTCTCCAAAGTTATAGTCCAACACACAGCAATATAACTCTCACAAGGAAGTGATGTATTGCTTAAATGAGTATTTGCGGTTGATTTTCTACATTCCTATGGTGGAGGCGAATCTTGCCAGACAACAACTCAGAATCAGAATATATATTTATTCATACTGGAGGAATCCGATGAGCTCTTTATCAGATATCCAGTCGGGGCACGGGGTCAGGATGTTACAACAACAAATAATACAACACACGATAGGAGTGCAAAGTGTAGGAAAGGTAAACAAATCACTTAAATAACATACAAAGAAAACTAAACTATGTTTTATCTTACCGGTAAAGCCCACTGAGCTATTAGCTTATTTTTCAGATGCGACCTGGCCACAAATGATAGCTCAACAAAGTGGCTTATCATGTGGAAATTTATAGCAGAAAAAAGTAACAATAATCTTACTGCTTTTGACTGCTCCATAAACTGGTACTTGTTTTATTGACCCTGGAGGAATTATGGGCTGATTCCATCCCCTCATCTAGGATTTGAACTCAAAACCTTCCGATTATAACCACTCACTCTGCCACTGAGCCATTTGGGAATTACACAGTAGCGGCATGCCTGTTGTGATATTTATGGAATGCCTGACCATAACTGTAAAGTTTTCTTCCTATTAACTCAGCCTTAATATCGTGGACGACACAGTCACACACACCTAGATACAATTCCACTTGGACCCCCGTCTGTTAATACTCCGGTCATCCTCGCAGTGACGGCTTCTGGCTAGCCATCGAACAAAAACAGTCACCGCATCGCGCTTTCAGATGCGCTTCTTCGGCCGTCTGGAGCGCTCTTCCTTCCGATAACATAATTAATCGGAAGCCACTGGAGGTATTCACTTTTACATCATCTAGATTGAAAAGTCATTCCTTTAGAGCTGTTTTTTGTGTTTAGTTTGATGTAATTTCCCCGCACCTCCGATTAGCATAGTTGGCTACGTTCAGTGCGAAATAAGTTCAACATACATACATATGATCCTTATGGTGGTACCCCGGGGTGCCAAATGATACAAAATTGCCGAGGCAATTAAATATTTTATTTCTGGGGTGTTACTTAACTCCGTGACTGGGGTACCAATCAATCCGAAATCGGTGCCACTCCGCGATGTAGAAACGCCAAACATGAGCATAAAAAAATCCGTTATCGGAAAATTAAATTTTGAATAGTGCATCATGTACAGCTCGTCGAGAGGAGTCGATTGCCGTGTCGCCGACCATCAACACAGACTAAAAACGACTGCATCACGGACGTTGTGCAGTACCCTGGGGGGTTCTATGGTACCCCGGGCTACCGCCATGAGGTTCAATTGGCAACTTTAGGTCCAGATTAATTACACGTGAGGAAACCACGTGGCTGTTGCACAGGTATCAGTAGCAGATACTGTTTACATTCGCTTATGCTTGTGGAACATTTCTCTCCATTATTTTGTGCATTATAATTGAATGACATTTCTGTTGTGAATACACAGTTCTCAATTCAAGCACAAAGTCATTCTTTGCATTGACAAACACAGACGTGCTTCTTCTGTTACATACACAGCGGCGTATCGTTTGTATATGTTTCGTAATGTATTTGCTTTACTCCACCAAACAGGATCCATGACGTTAATTCAGACAACCCAGCAGCATTTTCTTCAATCAGCTGTACGTCTTCTGCTACCAAACGCTGCCGAGACTCGGAAAGTAAAAACCGCTCGGGCGCTTTGCCTACGTAAACAAACGCTGCTTGGTAACGATCGATCCAGTAGGCTAATGAGCTGATTAACCCAAATGTTATATTTTGGTGGTGAACCAGGCGATTGCCTGCTTTTATTTACGTATGTTTTTTGCGAACACACGCGCACAGTTGTCGTACAAATTGGACATTTCCCTGCTTCTCAAAAAACTTTTGGAATAGGAGGGGAAGTTGCTAAGCGGGCGGCGATGTGATCAGAATTTTGGGAAATGGCGAGTGTGTGAAACACGAACCAAACAAGGAAGTCGTTTTTTTTGTTGGCAATGAAATGCGCAGATTAAATGCAAATTATTATGCAAATCAGCAGTGCGGTTCAGCCGTAGTTAATCATCTAATTGCTTCTCTGGAAAGCGAATTCACAAAACTGAAAATAATACGTTAATCACATGCTCATTTATGAAATACGTGGCCTGTGTGCCACACTTGAGCCAGATGTTTGGAATATTGATTAGAAGAATCCAGAAGGCATTGATATGCACGAAAACTGTGCATATATAATGTACAGACACCGTAATGTCACCAGGCAGCTCAGCGGTAGTGCGGCCCACAATTGGAAGGTTATGAGTTCACAACCTCGTTGGGGATTCATTCCGCCCATCGTTTCTTCAGGGGTCGATAACAGTGGCTTTCCTATAGATAGACTTACCCCTGCCATATAAATATTAACTTTTATATCACTGGCTCAGGGCTGTTCAGGGCAGAAATCAATTTGAACCAATGTAAAATGCCATACTTTATAGGTTTAAAACATTTGCTGCGGTGGCCATGGCGTGGGACGTTTATGCACCGTAGGCCTCCATATGCAGTTTGAGGTGGAGCGGTGGCTCTAACGCTTCCCACACTGCGTTGGGAACGGGGCGACTCGAGCTCAAGTCCGAGCCACAGCTCATGTGAGTGGCGAGTGATATTTGCACAAACAAGCATGGTGAAAGTTTGGTCAAACAACCACCATGACTGATGAGACAGTGTGGGGAGGCCTTCATCTAGCAGTTGATTGAGGAAGGGGCTGTATGACATTTTGGTGCTGTGTGACATATGTATTTTAAGTTGAACTTTCGGCACCGTACGTAGGCAACCGTGCTAATCGAAGTTGACATTTGAATGGGGCCCGATATTTCATTTACAAGAAATGCACCTTGAAATTGGCAGCACTGCAGTGTTGCTATATATATAAAAAAACGCTGTTCCTTTCAAAGTATCCATCGCCTGTGCACGCACCTTGGCTACGATAAGATATTCCAGCCCATTATGGTCCCATCATCCAGATGGCACATTATCATGATTCGGTGCCACCAGTGCCACCCCCCCCACCCCCAATCATTCACAATGTTTAGTATACTGCCAGCTCTGCTTTACTTGACTGGCCTTGGATGTATTCCAGTGTATGTGTAACATACGCATAATAATCAGTGAAGAACGATTTGCGGTCACATTGTGGGAGTGTACTGCATTTGAAATGTTACATCTGATAGTGTAGCTAGGGCATTTTGAAAACGATTCAACCGTTGTGACAGCTTTTGCAGAGCCATCGAGTGGAACAGATAGCCGGCAATTTATCACACGAATGTTCGCGAGGTAACTGTTAACCCCAGTCTATAATTTCATTTCAGAAGAGCTCTAACACAGTGATAAAATATGCATGACTAAGATGATGCTACCGCGTGTCGAGCAGCACCCCGAGGTGTCCCCGTGTCCAGCTGAGAGGGTATTGAATCATCTGAATTATCTGTCCATCAAATTTTTTTAAACGCGCATTACAGTAACCGGTGCACATTTTTAAAGATCCAAACCCTAGACAAGATCTTCACAAAAATGCTTCAGCCTGTGTGTTGCATCCACCGTTGAGGAAAGGGGTTTCCCTAAGCTGTCGCCATCTCTTGCGGTCCTGCAATGCAAAACTTAATCTCGCTCCTGCACACGTGAGCTAATCTCGCTGCTCCATCTTTGCTATGGTCACACGCGAGTGAATCCCTCTTTTGGCTGCCATTCTGTGCTCATACGCTTTGGTTCTTTCGGTAAAGTCACGTAGGTAAAAAAAAAAATCAAATCACAACGTTTCGGAGGCAACACAAGCTTCCGTCATCAGGTGCCGTGACTGTTGCCACCTGATGACGGAAGCTTGTGTTGCCTCCGAAAGGTCGTGATTTGATTAATTTTATTTTTACCTACGTGACTTTACCGAAAGAACCAAAGAGTATGGATCATTGCAGTCACGAAAACTTCAAATCTAGCATTCTGTGCTCAGTTTCATCCACCCACCCTTCTCACGATGAGTCCAGCCTAGCTTGCTGAATTTCCTTTTGAGGCATCGTGATGTCTCAAAGTTGTCTTTGTATCCTAATCCATGCGGTCCTCTGTGTCTCAGTGTGATTCCAAACGTGCATCTCTCCATGCTTCTACGCACACTTTTCAGCTCCTGGTCCTTTTTTCTGTGCTCTTGTCCATGTGTAGTGACTAACTCGGAGACAGTAAGACTTGGAGACACTTCTTTCTTTAGCGAGCACCATCGGGATAACACACATACCCTACATGGGTGTGTGTGTTATTATTATTAAGACCGTCTATTGTTGGCGGCACTACTTAGTGAGAACAGTTAGTAGGCTGTCTGACTAGTGGCGCCCCGGGATGGGGAAGAGGGAGACGACGATAAGAAGAATGGTGGCGACGACAAGATGTTGATGACGATGGACTTGAGCAGCACGATGGGGATCCCACTTCCAGCAACAGCCCCGAGGTGCCCCACAGGGGCCCCTCGCTCCACCCCAGCCATGCCCCCTTTCTGGAACCTACTGGAACCTACTAGCGGGTTCCCGT